TGCTGAAGCATGATTAAAAATGAAAAATATCGCCGATTTTAAGCTGGCGGAACGACAAAATGAACAGTTGGTATTTTGCCTTTTCTTTGTGTACTGCGTTATTATACACCATTTCAAAATTATAACTCCCCAATTTTTCCTCGAATTTTTTTTGAATGAAGATAAATGGGATAACAGTTTTATTTATGTTATTATGATTTTAAAACCCTCGTGGCCCAAACGGAATTGCTCTTTTACCGTGGCTAATTTTGTAGTTTCACACCCTTCAAAAATTAATGGATTTCTTTCAGTCAAAGTATTTTCTCCTTGTAGTCGAAAATTGTATACCTCGAAGGAAACTGTAGTTTTGCAAGATCACTCGATATTATTGGGTCTGGTAGTGTATTCATCTTCTAAATAAGAGGTGTTTAAGCTGAAGGAGATAATTAAATGGCCTTCAGGAAAACAAATATTATTTAGGCGAGGCAAACATCGCGCTTATTCGTGTAGAGACGCGAACTTCTTTTCCAAAGCGTATCTTTTGACACCTTGAATAAAGATTAAGACAAAACCGATTGCGAGTACAATTGACTCGATTGCTGAGCGAAAGTCACGAATTACTCGACTGATTATTGCAATTATTTGAATTTTTCAGCGCAGTGGATTTTTGAGGAATTTCGCGCAAAAAACCACTCTTCTGTACCAAAGTGGAGAATTCCTATTGCGTCAGTTGCGACAATTTTCGGTTACATATTTTTTAAATTTGATCCTAAATGTTTCCACAGCATTTTCCTTTACTTCTCGGTCTGATTTATAGTTCAAATATTTATGCACACTCGTTTGTTCACCTTTCCTGTAAGTCCAGTCCATAAAAGCTCAAAATTTAATCAAAGTAGGGTCGGTTTACATCAAAGGAGTTCTTTCATCTTTGCTTATTTTGCTCAGGGCTTTTTGGCTAATTTACCCATACACTTAAGTAAATTCTACCTCTGATAACAGAAAAAGCAGCGTTTTGATCATCAATTGATAAAAACAAAATAATCCTTAAAAGAAACACTCATTAAATTTGAGCTGCTTCTCATTTTTCACTCGAAAAAAGCGAGTTCCTCGGAAAGCAAATCGCATGGTTCTTAATTTAAGCAGTACTTGTATTTTTACTGTAGTGCTCATATTTCCCTCGCCGTTTTTTGCTGATCCACGTTTATAGATGCCTTCCGGCCAAAAACTGTGTCTTGTTGCCGTTTATCTTCTAAATTTTTTCCTTAAAAAAAAATCACCCGTTATGACTAAACGAAATTTGACAATTGCCTTTAACTGTACGTGATTTTGCTAAGTAACTCCAGTGCAGTCAGGCAGTGCGGTTCAATGTCGTGATGAGACCAGTGCTAGTCATATCTATTTAACGCCACATGGCTTTCTTAGATTGAAGGTAATTATATTGCTTACAGGCAAGATACCGTTAGTAATTTGCATAAAAGAGTATTTACACTTCAAAGAGCTCAGCGATGATATTCCCAATCGCTTTTTAACTGAGGGCGGTTAATAAATTTTTTGTTATTAAATTTCGGTGAAGAAAAAGTCCGAGATTCGTGAGATAATTAGGTTGTGCGCGAAATTCCCTCTTCCGCGGGAAAGCTTCGCTCTCTGACTTTAATTTTCTGCTCTCAGTTATTTTCACTGCTTGCAAAGTTTCATTTTCATCACTCGTGGCAATTTAAGGGCGATGGATTAAAAGCGCAGGGATTATAACAAAAACTCGCTGGTATCCCTTCATAAAAAAAAGTCTTCCTGCTCTAACCCAAACAAGCCACTTGTTTATGAAATTAAGCCGACAGCTCGCGATATTTTCGTGGGGTTAATATTCTTATGTAAGACAGTTTTCTCTTTCGCTGACAGATCGATTTTCTCTCTATGTCCAGCCTTTGTCTTGAGCGGAATGGCTCGGTATTTATCGAACTAAAACAGGCTTGCGGAAAACACTTAATAACTTTATCTCTTTGAACGTGAGTACAGCTTTAAAAAGCCTATTCAGAGGCTGTTAAGCCGGCGTAATGAGAGTTTATGAGATGAAAACTTTCAAACGGAGTTAACTTCGTTTTTCTTAATTGGTTAGTTTTATGTATGGACTGCGATCGATTTAAACTCACACTGCTAGATAGAAAATGGAAACTGCAGATACTTTCCTAATGGCAGCTCCAAGCAAGATATTTACTGGAGGTGTAGATTGCCTTTCTCCACCGAGGTAAAGACCGTTGGTTTTAATGCAAGAATAGTATAATTTTTAGGAAAATAATTCAGTTCGCGGCACTGAAAATGACTTAAGCCGAAAAAAAGGTTCAACAGATTTATATTAGACTTGTAAATGAGTTGCGTGTTGAAAGTTACGATGACAGGTGTATCGCGAAAGCAGTTTATCACTTTTGCAGACTTCGGCCCCGGCGAAAATGATTCAATATAATATCTTTCCTTAAAACCGGGCCGCCTTCTTTTCGATTTAATTCTTGCGGCGTGGCCAGAGGAAAAGAAATAAATATATGATCCACTGTATACTAACTTTGTAAACAGGAATTTAACACGCCAAATTTACTATAAAATTTGTAAATTGGAACGGTTGTTATGCAAGTGTTTTATTTGTACAGAGAACCTATTAGAGTTAACTGAAAAAGTGGGTTAGTTTTCCAATAGGCAGTGTTTGGATAATGCAAACAAAAGGCATGTACCTTTGATTAATTTTGCTTTATTAACCATGATAATACAATCATTCCAGCCGAACAAAAACATCTATGGCAGCTGGAAAATTTAAATTTGTCTTAAAAGAGTTTAGTTGATGTTAAATTGCTCAAAAGTAGCTAAATGGTGCGTACGTTTTCGGACTCCGCTACCATCAAGGAGCAATTAGTTCTCATTTTTCAATTTCTGAATTAAAACTCGCCGTCGACAGGAAAATATGAATTTACTGGCCAATACTTTGGAGTGAAAGATGCCAAAATGGACCTCGAATTCTCTGCACGACGCTTCTGTATTGTTAAGAGGGCTTCCTTCCGATAAATAAAAAAGTTCATTTCGTGTCATAGTCCAGTACAACTTCTTTCCAACTGTGTGTTTACACGATGTATCTTGGAACAACGCGAAGCAAATTTTCCTTTGCGTGGGCATTGATACTTTTCACTTTTACGGAAGTTTAGTCTTTAATACACACTGCACAATTTAACAATAACTATTTTGTCAAAGAATCATGTTTTGTAATGGCGAAAAAATTTTTTTTTTTCGGATACGCTTGACGCTTCCAAAAATATACATCTTCTTTAAACGTGTCAAAAATAAAATTCTTAACGCATTTTCTCTGAGTCTCATTACTTGAATGCGGGCGGATGATTCGGAAGGAGTTTCTTCCTAATTTGTCGTTAAATCCTCTGCTAAGCGAAAGCACTTTGGAGTCCATTTTTCAAATCATTGCCTTTTTTCAAAGAAGTTCGGAGTCGATAAACAATTAAGTAGCGTTTCATAAATTTTCACTCCGTAAGGGGTCTCGCAAACGAAGGGTTTCCTTACAAATTTTATTTTCAATAAGGAAAAATCTCTTGTTAAGTATATTCTCAGTTTAAATAACTTTAATTAGCATAGAAATTGGTCAAGCTGCGCCACTGTTCCTTTCCTGATTATAATTTTAACATTTAAACCGGCACTTAAGGTACAGGCGATGTTTAATGTTTCTTTCATCTCAACTGAATTAAGCGCGCGCGTCGTAAATAAAGTAGAATCCATTTCGGCAATTTTTTCCTGAAATTTTCAGGCGAAGCTTCAAAATGTTCTCATGCTATTCAAAGATGAAATATAAGCTTTCAATAGAAGCGCGACAGGATCTTTCATCAAGAAAAAATGCGATATGATTCTTTAGTTTTTGAACTTTTGCTGTCGGTCTACGCCCGCCGAATGAGGTCGCTTTTGAATAATAGACACTTTGAAATTATATATTGCGAATTGAGCAATATGTCTGGCCCGATAAAAGACAGGAACTTGAAATGTTTAATTGACAAATTAGAGAAGCGGCTCTGTTTTTAACTAACCGAAAATTCCCCAAAGAACACTAGCTTAAGAAAAAAAAACAATGTATCATTTTGTGAATACTTCTTTACTTTGCAAAATTTCTGCCGACTTAAATTAAGTTAAATTGTAGGCCCCCGAGCGCAATATGCCCGCAAGAGGGCTTTGATCGCTTTCCAATCTCATATCCTGTTCTCTGACAAACTGAACTCTTCATTTAATAAATATTTAGAGACGGAAACTTCTACCAAACACCAGGGAACTAATTGATATAGAGAGTTTCGGTTTAACTGCCGGAAAACGCGACAAGATTTGGCTAATTGCTTTCGGCGGAGAAGTTATGCCATCGCCCGTGAATTGGTAAAAATTAGATAGCAAGAACACTACAAACAAAGTGCTCTTTCACCAGTTTTGTTCATTAAAAATAACTTTGTTATCACTTCTTCAATACCATTTGCTTAGCATTTGTTTAAAGCGTTCAGTCGAGGTTTGTATGGCACCTCAAACGAATGATAAAACCTTTTCTTTGCCACAAGAATTTTCCTTGAAGAACCTAATTTGCGTTCCTTTTCGTGAGGTGTTTATTGTCTATACTTCGCAAAATTTGCAAATTAATTCTTTGGTGAGCAAATACCCGCTTGTAGTTTTGAATAATTTTTTTTTTGCCACTGAATCGCAAATGATGCTAAATAAGTCAATTTCCCCGAGGTGTTTTAACAAAGATTTTTTTTATTAAACTTCAACTCTGAAGTCCGGATGTTTATGTGAATTGGAAAATATCACCGTGGACTGTTAGTTTAAGAAGCCAGCCAGCAGGTTCTTTTGAAAATATCAAAATTGATCTTATTTTGTTTATGTTCTCGGCCGAAATTTGGGCCGGGCGAGAAGTCTTTATCAGGATTTATTGACTTCCACCCTGCTATCATGGAAACGAGATGTAGGAGCTTAGTACGCATGCTCTGTAGGTTCAAAATAAAACCCGACTACACCAGCTGTAGGGGTTAGTTTACTGTTCTTTCTTCTTAGGAGAGGATCGTATCTTTTTCGAATCTACCGCATCTTCCGGTGAACGTAGCTCAATCTGCCACTTGAACCTTTGCAATTACTTCTACGTGGCTGTGGAAGGACTATTTTTTATCGCCTGTTAATCGTGTTCAGCAACTGCAGTCGATACACATCTCCGATCGACCTAAGTGGTTTACAAAGCTCTTCGTTTTATTAGCAATTTTCGATATTGGCAAACTTACTCGATCCGAGTGTGCTAATCAGGATTTTATCATCTGTAGCCCTACAACTGGCCGCTCAAATACACAATCGGCCTCTCCCAGAAAATTGGAATTCATTAATGCAGGAAGATTCAGGAAAGATTGATATTTTGTTATTTCGAAAGAAGACTAAGCTGACAGAAGCTTAAACAGTTTGAACGCGCGAAGCAAGGAGCCGTGCGACCGCAGACGATGTCTGGCTAACAAACTCATGCTGATGTACGAAGTAAATTTCTGTTATGATTGAGGTTTTGGTGTTTATTACTGTTAATATATTTTTTACAAGTGGCTACCCTTACAAATTTTGTGGTCTTATTTGTTGTGAAAAGCAATATTCAGTTGAAACCCATTTTACAGCTGAAGTTTTGTACTTTGAAGCAGAATCAGTCGTGTTTTTTATTTTATTTTATTTTATTAAAAACTATCCAGGTTTAGACTTATTTCAAGGTAGAAACCATAACTCCAAGATAATTTACTTATGTAATCTAAAGTATTAATCTTCCCAGTTATTGAAATTGGGAAACACAGATATTTTCAACTCTGTAATAGCTCTAGACTTAAATGTGAGAATGGCTTTTTTCATGTGTTTATTTTTGTAAATTGTTAGACAGTCCTCACATGGAGAAGCTGAGTGGCCCAGCATACATCCCAAATCCATTGACGTCTCCTGCCCTTATGGTACTAGCATCAACTGCTGAGGCTGCACGTTCCACTGCTTCTTCTCCTGGACCAATGAGCGACTACCATGCAATATACTCATCGCCATCAAACCGCTATATTGATGGCGAAGCTGTGCACAGAATGGTGTTGAATTCAACCCACTACCAGCATCGATCCTCTCATCTTGCTCTCTACCCTGGCTCAGAGCATTACACTGAAAGAATGCCTCACGAATATGGACCACATTTTATTCAAATGCATCACCACTTAGGTGGAGGGCTTCTCCACAAAACAAGTGGACCCACTGCTGTATTCAATGGCACTGGTGCATTCCGCAGGGTTGTGCCACCTGAACATGCCTTCCCTTTTCATCATTTGCAACATCCACGAAACTTGCTGGAACGAGAACACCATGTCGATAGCTTGTACAAAAACTCTGAACTAGATAAAGAAACAAACTTAGAAAGGGGTTTGAAGGACAGGATTTCTCCAAGAAAACCTGATAAGGATGGTGAAACACGACTGATTGGAGATCAAACAAAAAGCCCCAGCCCAATGAGAAGGGCCAGCTCGCATGATGAGACTGATAACAGTAATATTGAGACTGTAAACATCAAGAGGGAACATGCGGATCAGATTGAGTGCTGTAAAGGTAGTGAAGCTGAAGATGATGACAGCAATGGGGAAATGCAATCTAAAGGCAAGTAAAAGAGAGTACTTACATTATTATTTTTTACATGTATATTAAAAATAAATTGAATTTCATTTTGAACTCTTCCATTTAGAAGGTGACTTAACCAGTAGTTAATTTTTTGTCTGGTTTGTAAATTTTATTACTATGACACTAAGCATCTTAAATCATCTGGTCAGAAGGAAGCTTTGTTAAATCTGGTTATTATGCAGCGACAGCCAAAACATTCTAGATGATTTTGTTTTTGGTGTTTTTAATTGTGAGGTGTTTGGAAAATTCACAGCATTTTATTGTCGGAAAGTTCTCCTGCTAAATGGTTTTAAAATTCATGGTGAAAAGTGCTAAAAAGCAGTTTATTTATTGATAAATATGTGTATTACTGCCAGAAATTGTTGAGTTAAAACAGAAGATTAAAATAAAATTTTTTTCCATCCTGCTTTAACTCCACTTCTTAGAAATCAGTCCTGAAGGTATTTTTGAACATTTTCAAACTATTGTGACGTTAGCTGCTCATTGTTGTTTGTTCATCATTTTCCTTTGAAAAACTGGTGCTCATGAATGAAATGGAAAATTAAGAGGTGTTTGGGGACCTGCAGAAAGAAAAATATTCCTGTTTGGGTGCCAAAAATAAGAAAACATGTCAACTGGTGCTGGTAATCAATTCAGTTTCACGAAAAAGGAATATATTTTGCAGCTTGTAGGGATTTGAAAAATTATTCCCTATTAATTTGCAAATACACTTTTCAAACAGCCTCCCAGATGTGTGGTAATTTGAATTTTGTTCAAATATATTTCAATAGAGTTGATTCATGGAGTGTTGGTGTTAGGGGAAGCAGGTCGGGAAAGATGGTGTGATTAAATTTCCTGTGAAACTAGTGATTAAATTCGGCCCTTTCTTGCTTATTGTAAATATTGAGATATGTTTGAAATAGATGATTTGTAATATACTCCAACAGGACTCAAAAAGCAGATGGTCATTAACATAACAATGCTAAATGCTTGTTGGTTCTTCTTGTTTCCATAGCATAGAAAAGGACCCACTCTTTATTCTCCTGTTTTTTAGCAAATAAATTGCACTTTCAATTTATGTTTTTTCAAGAGGATTCTAAAGAAGCAAACTAGCTTCTTTACGGAAATAAAAGTGTAAACCATAAGTTTAACATCTCTAAGTGAAGTGGTGTTGTTTAACTGATATAACAAGTTTCATCTCCATTTGCAAGTTACACCTGCATGCTAAATAGTTATTCATGCTGTCTGTTCTATTGTCTTCTTCATTTTTCCTATTTGAGTTAAAAAGAAGAGCTAATTTTACAGAGTCTTGTTGTTTCTATCGTGTTTAGGATTATCAGATTTAAATGACCAACAACAAAGTGTTTAGCCAGTACCTTTGTCATTAAGAGTCGCCCACAATCAATTCTTTTTGGAACATTTTATTTTTCATATTAACTTAGAAATTTGAACTTTACTTGGTTAGATGCCAAGTCACCTGATACACTTTCTGTACTATTTTTAATTTTACATCCAGTTTAAATCAGTCATAAGCTTTAGATTTTTACTTAAACAGCCTCTTACATTTTTCCTTTTTCATGTAGATGTATCAAATGAGAGCAGTTTCTATTCATTGTTTTGCTTTACATTTCAATTAAGTGCAGCATTTAATGTTTCTCCTCATGGCCAAAGGCAGTTGTTGCAGTCTTTCAGTTTTAGCATGCTCTACAAAAAATTCTTTATTTTTAATTGTATACCACAGTACATTTACAACACTTGTCAGAGTTCTCACCAAACTGTCTGTATTTTCTTGAATTAATGTCCCAGCCATTGTTTTTTGTGGATTAATATTCTCAAAGAGTTTTTTCACATGTTTACACCTTTCAATAATGGGAATAATTTGTGATTATTACTAAGACAAGCAGAAGTTGCTCGCGCAGTGTAAGGTGATCATCTTTTCATGTTGCTAACCTTTTCATGTTTTTGTTTCACTCTTGCCAAAGCTGTGTGCTCAAATTTATTTTATTGTCTTGTGTGGCACACGCAAAGCCTTGTTTAAGGAGAAAGAAATTTTTGGTGAAAAAAAGATTAGTTTCCATAGCATCTCCTTTGACACAATGGTGTTCTGTATATGTCAAGTTTATGACAAAAACAGATGAAAATTATGTAAAATAAGATCTCCCAGGGAGAATACCACCCTTGTTATTAGTTTTTTCCATAAAATATACTCACATATCAAAATACACAGTGAAGGTGGCTGTTTACAATGTTGGTGAATATTGACTCTGTGATGTAAAAATAGGTGTTGAGTGACTGTTCTGTGTTTACGAAAGATGCTGAGCTCCTTCTTTTCTTGTGTTTGTTTGCAAAAGGAAGTTCTTAGACCATGTGGTCATTTTTCTTGTCAAAACTGTTTGACTCCTTTAGAACAAGATAATGTTAATATAGTAGTTTTTTTTTCACTTCCCTTCCTTTTGTATATTGTGGGCTTTATATTTGATATCTCTTAGTTACTGCTCTTCCTTCTTGAGAATGTTGTTTGTATTTAGCTACTCTGCTTTGCAGAGTGTTAGGTTTCTGGGTTCATTATCCTCTGCTGTATATTTTCACCTTACAGGCTTTTGAATGTCTTATAAAGTTTTGCTCTGACTTGCTATTGCTTTTCTGACCCCTTAAATCCTGATAGAGACCAGCATGTAATTTATTCTCCCTGTTCTACTGTTGAATCATTCATTAAAATTGTAAGAATAAATTAAAGGATCACCAACCTAAGAAGCTTTGATAGTCCAACAAATTCTCCTCGTCAGTATCAAAGGAAATATATTAGAATAGAGTATGGAGAATTTGGAAGCTGTCAGGGTGTTGAAGTGTCTGAGTTAACAGAAACATCAGCTTTCTACATACAGTGATTTGTACACGTAGCAGCAAATAAGGAGAGTCACTTCTGTTTTAGAGTTGAGGATATGTTTATTTTGTACACATGTTAGTGTTTAAGGTTATTCAGTAAGGTAACACATTAACAATAAAAGGAAGAAAAATGCTTAATTATTATTACTTTTGATTCTAAGATAATATCCTTTCACATGGTGTTCTTTGTTTTGCGGCTAGTGTGATGTAAGGAAGCCTCGTGTACAAAGTTTGCATTAGTAGTTGAAATCAATCTATACCAACCACACACGTAGGTGTGACTAGCCTGTGATGTGATGGTTAGCCAGTGGAGGAATAGTCAATTAACACATGTTTTTGTAGCTTTTGCCTTTCTATTGGTTATAGAGTTTTTTCTTAACCTTTTGCTAAAAAATGGTGGTTGTGTGTACCTCATGTAATTGCTACAAGAGCTGTGTTATCACAGTATTCTGAGTTCTTTGTTTTGTTTTGTTTTGTTTTTTTTTCCACCAAAGAAAACTACTGGCAAATTACAGATCACTGTGTTTAATCGATTAATCTATATCAAAAGAATATCAAGCAGACAAATGATGAAAATTAAAAAAATATCAATTAGGGGATTATTAGTTGATCCAATACCAAATTCTCCATACTAACATTATAAGAATTGTTTGACAGACAGAAAAGAGAATTACAAATGAATCTTGGGATTGTAAGGGTTAAGGACCCTGGGTGCTTTGTTACTTTTCCTTTAATCTTTAATACAAAGTCTAAATTACAGTACATCGCACAATGCAATCCAATGAATTTGAGGTAACTTGGTATTATCAACTGAGTTAATAACGTAAATTGGCCTCTGTTAAGAGTCTTGAAGCTGACTTTTCGAGCTTTCACCCTTTGACTTAGGGAATGAGCTAGGGCTAAAGCTCAAAACATCAGCTTTGAAACTCCTAATGGTGGCCAATTTATGTTATCAACTCTGTTGATAATGTCAAATTACCTTGTTATACTCTCCCACTGATGCACCACCACAGTTTCTTTAGAAACTTACCCTTTTTGTTCAATGAATTTGATAACAGCTCAAAAGAGAGTACTAGATTCCTTAATGTAAGCCTACTTGGTGAATCCAAGTTTCTAATAGTTACTGATTTACTTAGTCAAAAAAAACTCAGTATCAGAGACAATTAAAAAACAAAAAAACAAAAAAACCTACCCTACTAACAGGGTCAGTGCTAAACCCTTTACAATCTGACATCAGTATGCATATTCTTCATACTGTTCTCTATCCATTTCCCAAGGTACCAACAAGGAGAATTTCTTTAACAATCTAGAGCTTCTTTAGTTGCTGATGATTTCCTTTATTCTTGTGACCTAACTGTGTGATTTGAGGGTGATATTATAGGGAGAAATTAGATGCTGATCACTCTTAAGAGGTTAAAGGGTTAATTGAATAAATAGGGTATGAACACATGCAAACTGCAGTGAGTTACTGAAAATATAATCAATGATATTGTAATTGGTTTTGGTTTTGCATCTGATTGGTTTAGTGGATGGCATAAGTTTTTGATATCACCCAAAGCATAGTGAAGAAAAATGTATGTGATCCTAGGTTACCTCCTTTTCTCAATTATCACTTTTCTCTTAACTAAGTTTATAACACATTTCTCTCTTTTTTTATCAACTTCAGGAAGACAGAGGTCATCTTCAAGTCAAGCACCATGTTGTCCTGTCTGTGGCACCAGCATCAGACCAGGTGAAATGGAAAGTCACTTTGCTTGGGAAATGGAGAGATTCTGTGAAGAAAACAGGTTAGTTTCTGGGTTATAGATAATGCTGTTTCTCACCATTACCAAAGAGCAAAAGTGTGGCAAGGAATTTCAACTTAAGATTGCAAGCTGTGTTTTGAGACCAAGCAGACTGACTTTAGGTAAAAGGCAAAGGAGAAGTCCATACTTGAGCCGAGTAGCCTGTCCAGTTGGAGGTTATCTTGGTTTCCATATCATGAAGCAAGATAGGGGTACTCCATCACAAAGTTAACCCCCCTGCAGCACTTCATCGGACTTCCCTAATAATTTGCTGCTACTAATTTATACTCCTGGGTGGAGAAACGCACTGTAAAAGTTAACCCTGTAACTCCCAGAAGTGATTAACACATAACTTCTCCCCATAATATCCATACATTATCCAGCAAAAGAGTAGTGTGAATACTCAGACTTATCTGGTAGAAGTTGTCATCTTGATTTAACACCAAATTCTCATTACTAATCTACAAGTAAATGTGTAGCAGCTAGAGGGGAGAATCAGCACTCAGAACACAACCTAATGACCTGGCCAGGTTTAAACCTGAACATCTCAACCCATAGACCAGCTCATTAACCAATGAACCATCTCCAATAAAAGGAAATCACTTTAAAAAAAATGTAAGCGACATTTTTGTACTCTAATTTGCTCTGATTTTGCATTCCTTTTTTTTTTTTTACAGGAAACCGAGAAGAAGTCAAAGAGAATCTGCTTTACAAGCAAGGAAGGTAAGTGTGCACCACACTTGCTTGTGGCCATTCTGTTTTTGTTTGGAATTCAGCAAGCTTATGTATTACCATGATAGTGAAAGGAATCATTTTGAATTCAACGACCCAAAATATCAACATGAATTTTTGCCTTTTTTTTTTTTTAGAATGGGGAAACTTTCCAAAAGAAAGTTAAGCAAGAGGGTAAACGTGATCTCCACCATCGACATGATGACACACCAGCCAGCACGAGACAACAGGTAAGTGCAGTAAAGGTTATTGAATTTTCATATTTTAACCCTTTCACTTCAAAGATGTAATTAGTAATTCTTCTTACTGTCTGTCTTACAATCTATTGATATTATTTGGGAGAATTTAGTATTGGATCAACTTTAAGTCCCCTAAGTTATATTTTGCTTTATTCTCATCACTTTTCTACTTGATATTTTACTGATATTGTAAGGAGAAGTTTTCTCTTGGTCACTCATGGGAGTTAAAGAATCGAGCTGTGAGATTGCTCTTCTAGCGGAGATGGCTGACAAAGGAAATAATGGTAGCAGCATTAAGAGGGTGCTTCACTGTAAGCACCAAGAGTTGTTAACCCTTTAAATCCCAGAAGTGATTCACGAGTAACTTCTCCCTGCAATATCCATGCACTTTCCAGCAAACGGGTAATGAGAATACTCAAATGTATCAGGTAGAAGTTGTTATCTTAATCTAGCTCCAAATTCTGGTAACTTATTTACAAGGAAATGTGTAACAGCTAGAGGGGAGAATTAACAATCAGATCTTGGGAGTGAAAGGCTTAACTGAAATGATGTAGCAAAGATTATCATACATACATGTACTGTTACTCTCATTAACTGAAAATTCTTTTATTATCCACAGACATATTTGCGAGTGTGTGCAAACAGAATGGCAAGAAGTGGCCGCTCAAATTCTCTCAAACCTACAAGGTCCAGAAGTTCTCAAAGTATGCCATTCCTTAAAAATGTCACAAATATTAGCTCTTTGACCTCCAAGAGTCACTATTTTCTAATTTTTCCATACAATATTACCACTGAATAAAATATTAGGGTCGTAAGAAGGAAAAAAATGATAGCCAGCTTAAGAAGTTCTTGATCATTAAACATATTCACCTTGTCTTTGTCATTGGAAACATAAAGAGAACAGTATGGAGAATATGCATACTGATGTTTAAGTGTAAAGGGTTCAGTTTGATGGATAGACCAGAGTTAGTTGAGGTAGTTTGTCCTGTGGCAATGTAGCTGGTAGATCTGTATCCACTTTTGGTCTTCACACAAATGTCATTGCACTCCTAATTTATACAAGTAATTCTCTTCAAATTTGTTCAAATTGGTGGACTTTGAGGAATGTAAAAAAGTTACATATGTGTAATGGACTTCAGAATGGGGAAAAATACAACTGTGAAAGTCTCAACCTTTCAAATTCCATGGGAAGCTTAGAACTTCCTTGGAACAAGAGGCTCATTAGGCCTTCAGAACCACCCACCTTTAGTTCTAAACTACCCAGTTGAATGATATTTTGTTGAAACTGCTGGATATTGTGGTGTAGATTGATGTATCCTGGTACAAGGAAAGTGTAACAGCAGATTGGCCTGATGCTGTTTTTGCCTGTGATAATTGAATTCAATCGGCCTGCCATCATGAAACACGTGTAATTGTGCACGACTAGTGACTCTACCTCTTTGCTATGTTGTTAAGGGTGGCTTTTGTGCAGTGTTTTTCCATTTCCTTACCTTCTTGCTCATGCCCACAGGCTCCCCAGTGAACTCACCTCTAGCTGGAGAGGAAGGACCCTCAGGAATCAAGACCACCACGTGTCCTGTGTGTGAAGAAGTCATCCATGGGAATGGAGATGAGTTAAATTCTCATGTAGAAGCTTGCTTAAGAAAGGTGAATACCACTGTAACAGAGTAACTGATTAATGTTAGATGTTGAAATGAAAATGGTTAGCCTTTCATTGGTCAGAAGGCACTGTTGTTTGTTGGAAGTGCTAGTTACCCCACTTGTTAAGTGCCTCTCCTCCCCAAAGGGGAAGGACTTGTGAGCTTCAAAGACTGAATATGGACTAAACCCTTTCACAGGGGATAGCAACACTTTGAAGTTACCCACACAGCAGAGGGTGGATACATTAAACCTTTAAACTCTTAGAAGTGATGAACACGTTACTTCTCCCTATAATACCCATACATTATCCAGCAATCAGGTAATGAAAAAATTCAAACTTATCAGGAAGAAAATGTTTTCTTGATGAAACACCAAATTTTCACAAATAATTTACAAGGAAATGTGAAGCAGCTAGAGGGGAGAATCAAATCTTGGGAGTTTAGGAGTTAACTATGCTCTAAGGCTCTATAAAGTAAGAGGTAATGTAACTCCTTTCTCTAAAGAATGATGGTTGTATTTCTATCTGCAGAAGGAAGGCAGGGCTGTTGATGAAATTGATGACGCCAATGGTCAGGATGTTTTCGAAGAATATGAGTGGGCTGGACAAACAAGAATACGAGCTACAACTCTGTTGGAAGGTGGCTTTAGAGGTAGTTTTTTCACTTTCTAAAGGGGTTAGGTAATGATATGCTTTTTGTTGACAGGATTTAAGGATAAACACAATTTTTTGTTGTGATGGGTGAAGAAGTTACCAAAAAATGGCAGTTTTTGTAAGATTAGGAAAACACATAGAAAAGGGAAGATTAGGATGAGCTGTCAAATGTTTAAGAAGATTTGCAATCATTGTAGATGACAAACTTTAATATTAGAGGAAATATTTTTCAAAATGCGCAAATGTGCATATTGCTTGGCTTTCTTTTTAATTGACTTCATGTTGTTTGTTAAAGCTCATACACAAAATGTTAAAATTTGGTGGTATACAAGTTATGTTGTTTTTAATGTCGTTGTTTGTTTTTTCAGCTTCAGGCTTTCAAACAGGTATTAAACGAAAAAGGGAAGAGGAGGATGATGGAGACCTTGACATAGACGGAGATGATTCCGAAGAGTATGGCAAACCTCAGTATCCTATAGAATGTTGATTTTTAAATAGGTGACCATAACTCCATGTGTGGGGGATGCTAGAACCAGGATTTATTGTCCTTCTCTCTGTCGAGGAGTAATAAAGGATGGCAACAATCTTAGGGAGATACCTAATCAATAAATTGACCAGCATTTAGGTTTCTCCTTGTGGTATCAACCCAAAATCAAAGATTAAAAAATGATCAGCAGGAAAGAGGGTCTTGATTGTTAGACAAATTCACCTTTTTAGTACTCTAGGAAATGTAAAGAAAGCAGTATGAAGAATGTACATACTGATGTTAGGGTGTTAAGGGTGAATGTAACCTGCATACCATCCAAAAGGAGTTGCAATACTCTTGGTCATGTCTTGGTTTTATTAGAAAGTTAGATAAGCTCTGCCAGTCAGTTTTGCATATTACACTGTGGCTGTACCTTTTTACATTTCCATTATATATCAATTAGACAGGCATTTGTTCAGTATTGTTCAAGGTTTCAGTAATAAGAACTGCAAGGTTTCAATTGTAAGGAAAGATCAGTTACTGCATGAATTATGATGTTTTTGATGTACTGTATGATGTATTACATTGTGAAAGGAAAAAAAACAGTGGTGTTTGCCATTCCTTAATTTATGATCTAATGAAACAAGGTACACAGAAGCAGATGTAATTCCTTGTGGTGCTGATGAACCTGATGAAGATAATGTCAGACAGGCTCTTAGGGGAGCAGTGATCAGGTTAGTTCTGTTTATATTACTGACAAATATCATTGTTAGCATAATTCAATTCAGCAGCCTACTCAGTTCAGAACATACACCTATTAAATTTTCCTATGACAACCTTAATTATGTGTAAATGTATTCTTATTTGTATTATTGCAGTGGTGAAAATTCTCCTGTTGAGAAAAAAAGTCCAATGAGAGAACTGCCCTCTGAGGGTCAAACAGGTACATGATACGCTATTATTGTATTTTGGAATTGATTTGTAAAAATAACCTTTTTCAGCTCAATTGTGTCAGTTTTGTATATGTCTGTGTGAGTAGTAAACAGGTTTGCTTTTGATTTTACTCTAGAGGATAATTCCATGCAAACAAAAGCTGACAAACATAGTGAAGAAAAGGATCATGAGTAAGCATACATAATCATTTTCATGTTAATCTATGGTGCTTGATATAATGATATTATTTTGACCCATAAAATAAGTTATGCACAGTGTTCTCTGTTATAAATCATTATTTATTGGTGATTATATCATGTAAACCATTAAGCTTATTGGGTTTTGTTAAAGGTTTTAGTATATACCACATAAGTGGGTAGTGCTTTTCATTTGCACTGATTGGCTAATTTGGAAATGAATAGCTAGTAGTATTAACCTCCAAGCAGCTGATTACACAAAATCATGCATCGCAAGTTTAATTTCTGAGCATTTTTTGGTATATCGAAAGAAATAAACTAATTTTTTGGCATCTGTGTGGTATATACTTAAACGATTATTCACCTGTGCATGCTTACCTCCACTTTGGTGATTAATTTTTGATTATTGTACAAGCCAATGGAATGATACAAATGTGCTGCAGCATTTGTTAATAATATCCTAAAATGTTCATTTTGTTGAGTACGCTTGAAGCTAAACATAATTATTTGTCTACCATGTAATTAATTCTAATGTGGATTGTCATATTTTCACTTCTGGGGTGTCAAGAAATGCTAGTTATTACTGGCAGTCTAATGCCGCCTGTAAGACCTCATACCACTGTCTGTTTAGCCTGCATGCAGGCTCAGGTGTTTAGGTTTTGTCTTATGGCCCCTTTTCGGGCACAGCTGCCTATTAGATCATCTCATCTATTAATGGAATAAGTTATAGAAATGCCTACACTACTTATTGCTGGTCATCTTCAGGCAATAAGCTTGTTTGAAATTGCATCACCTCTTGAACAGTTTTGCTCAGCTGTGATTGGGTGGTATTCAATGGCTGTGAATGGTGCATTTTGATTTATTACTTTCAAAACCGTCTGCTACAGCATGGAATGGTTGTGGTGGATTTACTAAATTTAGGCTGCACATACAATGTATGTATGCATGAGGCTTGTTTGGATGATTCTGTAGAATTCTACTGAGTATTTGCATTAATTGTCCCAAACTGTTACTCTGTTAGGCCAAAAATTACACATCATGATTATCTTCATCTTGTGTAAAGATCATGTAAGCATCATCTTGGGTATAAAAAAAAATGTATAATTTTTGCTCCAAAGCGAAACCAATGGTAACAGGCCTGATTTGCATGCATTTAAAAGAAAAATTATCAACAACAAGTATATTTTATTGATTTTAGGACAGGTAACCCAGACCTGGTTATCAGTTCTCTAAAGGTTCGCATAAAGGAAATGGTAGGTGCAGAAGTTTGAAGCTAGTATGGTGAATTAAATTACTGTCAGGATAATAATGTCAACTGTGACATCCTCCTAAGTGATTTATGAGAGTTGTTTGAGTGTCCAAACTTTAGATAAACCCAAGGAATATGAATTAAAGTTAAAAAGTATTGAGTTTCATTAGAAGAGAGACTTAAATTTGTCAGTAAGCTAAGACTGAGGAACCTAGAAACAGCATTTATAAACCATTAACCAATTTCCCTTTCACCCCTAAGAATGACTAGCATCTGATTCTGATTTCTCTTTAAGATGTCACCCCTGAATCAAATATTAACGTCACAAGATTGATTAAAGGAAATGATCACCCACTAAAAAGCCCTTGCTTGTGAAACAAATTCTGCTTGTCAGAGCCTTGGGAAATGTCCAGAGAACAGTATGGAAAATATGCATACTGATGTTAGGGTGAAAAGGGTTGAGAAATAGTCTTTAACGATACAGAGGGTTGTTTAAAAAAGGAACATGACGAGAGGGGCACTAGCTTGTGTTGCTGGTAATTTTGTGTAAACTGTACAATTTTCTGTGTGCTGAGTGATAAGTGGTAAAACCACAATTGTAAAAAAATAAATAAATAAATAAAACTATCTGCCATGCCAAGACTCTAGTAGCTTCACTCCTTCTTTCTTTGGGGCACACAATGTCAAAACTGCTAGCTATGCAGTCTGGCTAGGCACCATTTTTTTCTGTCTTTAAAAAAATAATTTTTAATTCTAATTTCCTCTTTTCCTTTTATCCTGATAGGAAATGAAGAAATTTGAGAAAATGAAGTGTTTGATATGCATGGTTGGTATTTGGTTTAGTTGCATGTTCTATTTACACTGTATGATTGTGCCGAGTTGCAATTTCTTCCTCAATTTAAATTATATTCCCCTTTGTTTGTTTCAAACTCATTGGCCTATTCTTGTTTCCTTGCAGGAACCCTACACAAATCCCTTGGCTTCGATATCTTGTTGGCATGTTCACTGTGAGGAGTGCTGGCTCAGAACACTGGTAAGGTAGCTCTTTAGTGTATATCAAATACAATTTCTCTCTTCACTTGTTCACTTAAACTGTCTTGATTTTCCTTAAGAGAATTTCAATATTAATCACTCCCTGATTCTCTGTTATTTCTGTAGGGTGCTAAGAAGTTGTGTCCGCAGTGCAACATGATTACATCGCCATCTGACCTTAGGAGAATTTACTTATAATATGATCACTGGATTGTAGTGAATGCCTTGCGATGTGTGTCATGCTTTCTGGAATGTATTCAAAACTGAAATGAAGTGAAGTTGAAGTGCTACTGGGAACATACCAAGAAATGGCGAAACAGTGAACAGTTTGTACATTTTTTGAAATCCCAAAATTTGAAAGTAACGAAATGGTGTATTGCGTGACCAGTTCGTGACTAGCGTGACTTTCGTAGAGGTTTGCAAGCTAAGAAATGCTCAACCTCTTCTTCTCCCATAAGTAAATAGACAGAATTTTTCCTTACAATGTCTATAATATCAAGCAGACAATTGATGAGAATGAAAAAAATATCAATTAAAGGATTAATAGTTGATCCAATAATGAATTCTCCCAAAATACGTAAGAATTATGTGGCAGACTCTTAAGGATTTACTGATGAAATTTTGGGAGTGAAAGAGTTATGCAGTCCCATTCACAAACAAATGGTTACCCGGTTAATTTATACCTGGTTAATTTATAAACAAAGTTGTCGAAAGCAAAGTAGAACTCCCTAACGAGGAACAAAATTACTTTAGTTATCTACAAGTCTCCTAACTTTTGATCTGCTTTGATTCAAGTATTTCTTTGGGATGAAATTTGTCAAACCACTTTAATATTTTACAATTATTGTAGTCTGAAAGAAAACTATGAAGAATTTGGAACCAAACGTAACTGAATAAAATTTCCTTCAAAAAGATTTCTTTCCAAAAGAACAGATCCGGTACGAGATGAAAGCACATATCATGTAGCTAATTTAAAGTTTACGTGAAGATATGGCTCACAACGTCCACCAATTCAGAATTGACTGACTATTGTGGTCATTCCTCGTTACAGCTTCCCGTTTCGTGACATCCATTCCCGTTGCGTGACATGGCTAATAGTAGGTTTTAGAGTTTAACCGCGCAAAATTTATGAGCAAAATTATGCGGATCTTAGCGCCTTAGTGTTTTCAGCTCAATCGATAAATTAATTTTTGTTTTAGTAACCCGAATTTCAGTATACACATTCTGTATAGTTGAATTTATTGGTGAAAGAAAGAGTTGTTTCTAAGTCTCACAAGATTTGTATAATGATGTAAATGAAACGAGTTAAATGTAATTTAATGTATTTAAAAGAGTGCATCGAATATTGATAATGATATTTAAAGAACTAAAATTGTCAGAAATAAGAGTTGCATTAAATTTTTTTGCAAGATTTTTATAATTTGCATTTAGAAGAAGTTTGGCGAGACAATCACTTAAAAGCTTCTGGAAAGTACAGGAGACGATAGGTAAATATTAAAGTATTGTCTTGAAGTTAAGCGAATTAAAAATTTGCACCATATTGGTGTGTGTTTGGTTATTACGTTAATGGGTTTGCCGTCTTTAACACTTACAAATTTGCAGTGTCAATCGACTTGAAGTCGAAACTTCCATTGCAAACGCTCAAATAGGCCCCTCTCTAATACGCCCCTTTTATAATACGCCCTTTCTGATGGGCCTTAAGCCCCCTTTTTTTTGCAAACCTTCATTATTGAGATGCTCTCTAATGGACCCCCCCCCCCCACCCCCTTCTCTGAAAATTCCTCCGTCTTCATTAAGCCCCACCCCTCTCACATACTCCCCTTTACCAGATATCAATGAGCCCCTTGGCCTTGAGGGCTTATTAGAATGGTTATGACAATTTTCGTTTAACCGCTTCCCTCTACCCCTTACCCCCTTCAGAGAGGATTGCAATGCTTTCATGTCAAGCACACGTAAAACCCTTAGCTGCGCAGGCAAACTTAAACGTTACGCTCAGGACCCAATGAAAGAGTCTTACGACAGAAAAAAAAGACAAAACAAGTGAGAAAACTTTCTGAGCTTATAGAGTTTAGCGCGCTAGCCACAAACTGATTAAAACACAATTCATGAATGTGAGAGTGGCCAGTCAAGTTTTCTAGTCCACAGGGATTGAGGATACATCTGCTTTGTTTAACAAAGCATTTGCTTAATTTTCCCTTATCACGGTTATTATAATTTTACCTCTTGCGCGTTAAAGAAAACATTCTTAGCGTATTTTATTGCAAATTTTGTGTTAAGAACTCTCCCACAGGTCGGTGCAGTTTCCATCACCAGCACCTATTCTTATAAATTGTGCAATGTAGCACGAATCATACTTTTAAGTATAACTACACGATGGAACAGGTGTATTAAAATACACCTGTTTCATCGTGTAGTCTGATTGTCCAGGTGAGAGCACCTTACGTTACATTTGAACTCTCGTGATTATTTTGGTACTCGAAATAAAGCAAACAATTTGCAAGAATTCAAGAACAAATTTATTTTTCAGCCTTGAAGAGGATATTTTCCGTAAGAAAAGACTGGGACGAGTCTACGTTTTATCTACATCCCGCGGGTTACGGGCAAAGTCGGACAAAGTCGCGGGCCTTTCATTCTGCTGTTTCCATCCTGTCTTGGAATGTTGAAAGTAACGCGCGTGAATGCTTTTCAGTCACGCTCAACTTTTGATCATCTTGGCGAACTGAAAGAGCTTTGTAATTCTCCGATTTTCATCTTACGGAAAGGGAAAACATTCAGGAGAGTTCTGCTAAGGTAATACTGATTAAAAATAGCTCGCTGCGAGGCTTGACAAACTGCAACACGATCTCTTGAAGTTTGAGCACAAGACTGAGTGAAGCGTTGTTGCTAGTCTGTCTGCTCGCAGTCTTGATCAAGTAATATTCTACACCATTTAATCAGATTATTTTCTTGTATGTATGTTATTCTTCGTAAGAATAGCTCAGTGAAGGTTTTACAGTAAATATATATGATACATCGTTCGAAATTTAGCCCTCTGCGATCGTAATTCCGTGCAATGATGGGGAAATGAAGAGTAGAGACAGAATTTTCGCGAAGATTTGGATTAGGTGTTCTTAACTTTTTTTTTAATTTCCTCTTAAATGTTTTGATTATGAAATGCAATCATGAGATTATGTAGCTGCATTTGTTAAAATTCTTGTTACGTGACGATCGTAGCTCTTAAAATTGCTTTCATTGTACTAGGGGATTATAATCATTTTTGCCTTTTGATGGAGCTTACGTCAAATGGGCATTTAATCCGTAATGACTTAATAAAAGAATTTTTGCATCACGTACGGACAGCAAACGATAGGATTGAGTTTAATGCAATGTGAGTAAATGATGTTTCATTACTGTGTCTTAGGGTGGTCTACATTGCTAGCATCACCGTGACCCATTTGGCACAGATACTTTTTGGATGCTTCCCATGTAAGTTCCGACCAGGAAAATGTTCATAAGTCCTTCGTAAAGATTAGGGATTTTTTTTCTGATTATGACTGTGTCGTTTGAGTGGAGGTTGCATTGTGATTGTCTACCAGTGGTCTCAGCGTTAATAAAGTTCTATCTGATATTCCAAGAATTACTGAAACATGTAGTATACATTTAATTGATAATTAAGCACCATTATATCCTTTACAAGGTTAAAGTTGATTTGCAATGTGATAATATCAGCTTTTCTATTATATGACTTTTATGTCAAGATTTAATATTAAGTTCAATTTGCAATCATTGTTTTAGCTGGAGCCACTCTGCAGCTTTGAAAATTGACAATAATTTAAGATGTTGGTTATAGAGGCTATAAAAGGTGCTAAGAACTGCTACAGATAATGGTTGACCACCAGTTTCCAACAAACCTCACATCACCATTCATGGCAAAGAAAGGAGATTTTCAAGATTCAGCTTCTAACATCAGTGGTGATGAGTCAGTCTTTCCCGCAAGTACATTATCAGCACACAGTGATCTGGAATCCTGTTCTGACATGACTTCCTTATTTCTGACGACTGCTCCATCAACAATTGGTTCAGGTTGGTTAGATGAGAGTGGGTTTTATCTGTCAACTGGTTATAAGAATGTAAGAGACACTGTTGACTTTGCAAAGTGGACAAAACATGATGATACAGATATCAGTTCATCAAGATCCCGGACCCCTAGCCCAGGTATTAGTAAGATGCTCCTAAGCTTGTCTGACCATCCTGTGGAAAGACCATGTTCCCCAAATGCTTCGTCATTGTACAGAAACACCAAAACACACTGCAACCCATCAGAGCTTGGAAAACAGACTTATGATGAATGTATGGTAAGTTTTAGTTGTTAACAATGGCCTTACCCCACAGATAAAATATTTAAGTTAGTAATGCTACATGAATCCCTGAAAGGATCGTTTAGTGCGATTGTCTGACCTCATTGAAAGGATTGTTCTCAGCAATGTTCCAAATATTGATATCTCTGAGAACAGTTCTTTTCTGAACCTTTGCCAGATGTGTGCATCAAACTTCTTCAGGATTCAAATTGTTGGCTGCAACTTTTAAAAACCCCTGCCTTGCTACTGATACTAGGATTTTCAGTTGAGTGAAGTATGACAGAAGTTGGGGAACCATCTCGATGTGAAAATTGTCTTGTTGTCATGAGAAAATGGCTCTATTTCCAGTGGGAATGAGTTTTCTTGTTTGATGGTTGATGACATAGGGCTCTTGAGATTCAATTACCATTGGAGAAGAGGGAGGTAGGTTGTGACAACTCCTTTATCGAACTTTTTCCATACCTCACTCAAATGATAATGTTTGTATCAAAATTTGAAATCTGTTGTGCAATTTTTACAATGGAGTTATTTCAAAATCTTATCAAGTCAGTCTCAGTTTCCATAGATTGTAGCTGAGCTTCTCCTGCTTCCTTTGTTGTTGTAGGTAAGGGAAGTCTGATAGCCTGCTTTTTTTCTCTCTTGCAGAAATTCACGAGATGGGCAAATGCATTTCTTCAGCACAGCCAAGATCAGTTTTTAATCACTGATTTGGTGAGAGACTTGGGAGATGGCATTACCTTGTTAAGCTTGGTTGAGATGTTAGGTAGGTCTTCAATATTCTAGTAAATAAATCTAAAGGTTGCAAAGATCCCTCTTTTCTCATTTCAAAGGTCTTAAAACTTGATTGATTGTCTGGAAGCTCAACATGATAAATTCTTGAATGTTCCTGAGTGTCTCAGCAATCAATTCTTTGATTCTAAAAGTGTTCAAGAATCATGGATAGAGGATTGAGTTTTGAGATAATGAGCTTACATGGAAATCAATTTTTTTCCATGTTACGTAATTTTCAAGGTATAATCAATTGATATACACTATACAATATGTGTGACTGCTGGAAGAATAAACTTCTGGGTGGAGAGGTTGACTGTGAGGGGAAGTTAGTGGTTGGAGGCCATTATCAGGACTCCTTTGTGAAATTGTTGATTCAGTGTGTGAAGGAATAGCCAGGTTAGATCAGGGAATTTAAAAAACCTTTTACTGCAGCAAAGAGAGATTTTTTTATGAGAAATATCACTTGAACTACAATTACTATGCTTAATGAGTTTTGTTCCAACTGTGTTCCAACTTTACCATTTTCTTTTCATGATTATTTATTTTTATAACTTTTTTCATGATGAATATTATCACAGTTGGGGAGTTTCCTCCTCAAATACATATAAAGCCAGCACTAGATGTGCAGAAGATGGAGAACATTCAGACTTGTCTGGACTTTTTGGAGCACTATGGAATTTCTGTCAATGGAGTCACTGCAGATGGTTAGATCAACATAGTTAATCTGAGAGTATCAACAGTTGTCTTGTGGGTTGGTATGGCCCTATGCGGAAAGTGCCATTTCTCTAGGTTGTGCGGTGGATTAGTTCTGTGTCACTTGAAAAGGGATTATTAGTCCCTAAAATAGGATTAGCAAACCCTTTCGCTCTCAGGAATGACCTGGAACTAATTTTCCCTTATGATATCAATATGCTATAAAGCAGGCAGGTGATGAGAATGAAGAAAATTATCAATCAATTATCAATAAGTATTTGACTCTCATGTAACACCAAATTCTCAGAAGCAACATAATGGGAAATGTAGGGCAGAAAGTAAAGAGAAGTATTTTTGAGGTCCCAGGAGTGAAAGGAATTTAAGAAAACACAATCCATATTAGAAGTAAATATGTAGTAATTGGTGCAACAAAACACTGTATTACATTTGGTGTTGAATAACTACAGTCCTTTCATCATTCTTGGTGTTTTTATCCCTACACTAGAGACCTTGAGTATTAAGGTAATTTTTTCTCACTGTGAAGCAATTCCTGTATTATTTTACGCATTTTATTCATATGAATATTTCTGGTTTTTGTTTTAGATATTGTGAGCGGAAATCTCAAAGTTGTGTTGGCTTTATGTCATAGTCTTTACAGACACGCTGGCTCAAATGGAGGTAATTGTTGTTAATTTCCTTACACAAACTCGGATATTTAGGGAGTAAAATTATTCAATATTTGATTTGCTCCCAGCCAATGAACAAGCTGAAATGTTTGCGTGTGTGTCGCTATCAATACTAACCACTCAGGGGCTGCATTTTTTTCTCGCTAGTAAGTGATCCTCAAATTTCTCATTTGGTGGACAATGATGAATTGTCACTGTTAAGCTGGGTGGCAAAGGTTACTGGCAAAGATGTTGTTGATTATGGGAGGTGAGCACACTAATATTGTCTTTCCCCTTCACTCTTTACACTCTAACATCAGTATGCATATGTTCTATAATATTCTTCACACATTTTCTATGGTACTGACAATGAGAATTTATTTAACAGTCAAGAGCTTCTTTAGTTTGAAATGATTTCCTTTATTCTCATGCCCTTAATGTGTGATTCAGGGGTGATATTGTAAGGAGAAATTAGATGCTAGTCACTCTTAGTGGTAAAAGGGTTTACTGAATTTGGTTATGACTACTTTCTGGGCAAAAACTGTGGGAAACAAGAAGACAAAGTGCTTCAGTATTTCAACAGATTTACCTTCAGAGCACATGACACCATCTTTACCAATTAGAGAATGGAAGTAAGCTTTCTTATGTTGTACAATGGCTATATGTTTTACTTTGCAGTTTTCAAGATGGCACAGTGTTATGTTTGCTATTAAACAAGATTATTGAAGGAGCTATTCCAAGCTTGGTAAGTGCAAAAGAAAGGAATGTAGGGCTTGAAATTAAATTCTCATTTGCAAAGAACTCACTGATTGAACATTACAGTAGCCTTAACCTATCATTTTATTAAAAATCCTCCAAATATTCATTGATAATAACTTTACTGAGAACCTCTTTTTATTCACACTTCTTCAAATCGAAAGGGATAAAAGAAGAAAGTGATATGACTGCTGAAATACTTGAAAGTGAGCCACCTGATCTTTACCTCTTCCACTCTTCCTTCAAATTAATACACAGATATTTTGCATCTTGAAAAATTGTGGAACCTATTTTTTTTTCAATTTCAAGTTTATTATTTGGCATCCATGTTATTATTTTCTATTTTCAACCATTGCTTATCCTTAGCAGAGGCGGATCCAGACCTAGGGCAAAGAGGGGGGTGAGGAGAGTGGTGGTTGTTTGTCGCTTGCTCTGCCAGCTTTTTTTCTGTCTGCAATTTTTTTAACCCAAAATAAGGGGGGGGGGGGACCCTCCCCTAGATCCACCACTGCTTACCCCATCAAACAATTTATCAGTGGACTTCCTTGACATATGAGACAATTTTATTGCATCGCTAGAGCGATTTATAAAATTGTGACATGCTTACAGTTTTCTCTTTTTTTGCAGGTTTTAGAATATGGCTCAACGTCTGAAAAACTAAGCCTTGCTTTAAAAGTTTCTGCCGAACAGCTACTTGTGGGACTCAGTCTGAAAGCAGAGAGCATCATAGATCAAAGATGTCGAGAACATTTCATGGAGTATTTGAAATCGTTGTATCGAGTGTATAAAAACAAATCCAACAAGGCGTTTGATGCATTTGAGCAGAGGAACTCAAGAAGGGAGCACAAAAGGCAGTTAATTAGAGAACAAAAACTTCGCGCTGAGAGGTGTGGCTCTGATTTGACTTATCTTGGAGAACTTAGCCAAGATAAATCCCGTATTGCACGGGAGAAATTGCAGGTTTCTCTGGCTAACGCCTCGAAGGGTGTGTCAAGCAGTGAAGGTGTAATAAGCCCAAGAGGGCTGAAGAGCCTTGAAAACGACGATTTGAGTGCTGTAACGTATGGATCCCATACCTTATCTAAAAATGGAGTTCTAAACAACACTAAACGGAAGCTGGATGATTTGAAAAAAGAACTGGAACTTTTGAAGGTTGAACTACGAGAGGATAACAATGAAAAGCGCTGCGATCGAAGTTACTTAAGGTCAGATTCTCCCTTCCGAGATTATTTCACGAGTGGACGTGGAGAACCAATTTCGCGAAGTAAGCAAGCGAACACCAGATTAGAGCTTAGGCATGTTTTTCGTGGACAAGGAGGCACATCCGTGGGTGAGAAAACTCAGAAAAATGGTCATAACAGTGACGTAGCTGTAGAAATAACTACAAAGATCGGTGATGCTGATTCTAGTGACGATAAACCCCTTTTTACTGCGTGTTACCTTGGAAACTTTCCAAGGAGCTTTGATGATTCAAGTTCACGAGGAGGACTTGGTCATGCAAGTGATGGTACGAGTGTCACACTCAAAGACATGATTGAACAACCTCTATCCTCCATTCACGAAGTAACTAGCACTTCTTTTTTCGAGGACCACCCTAAATCAGTGTTGCCTTCACAGACAAGTAGTAGACTGCATCTTGATAAACCCCATGCTGTGGAAACTAAAGAAATTAGCAACTTGTTCGATGTCGACTTTGGTAACGTGGATGAGAACAAGGGTGGCGATCGGGAAACATCTGTTTTCAAGAGGATGCTTAGAGCTGGAACTGAGACAAAACCAGGAGAACGTAATTTACGCGATGATCTGGATAGTCAGACTGTGTGTTCCGTGAGTCAAGGGAATTTTAAACCAGGTGCTCTAGCGAAAACGTCTTTAGCGAAGCCTCATAGAGAGCAGGAGAGATACAAGGTTTTGGATAAATCGTTTGGTTTATCACCTTCAATTAAGCCAGTTCAATACGAAGAAAAAGTACCCATGAGGGAGAAAACCTCTATGGATGTGGCTACGAATGGCACCACCAGAAAACAAGTAATAGTTCCTCAAAGGACTCTTTCAAAAGACAAACGCCATAGTGAACAAGTTGTAGCCAAGAATCCTGCCAAAAGTGTCCAGGCACCATCGTCTAAATCACATCTGCATGCACTTACTGCGCTCATACGGATGAGCGCTAAAAATGCCAGCGCTATGTTTGACGAGGAGCCTTAGTGAACCGTTTCGATATAAAGTGCTGATTATTAGTTATTATTAATTTTTACATTTTCATCTTCGAATATTCTGGTTGGTTCACTTAACTCCGGTTATCATTATCATTGATAACTTCCGTTATTGTTAGCTTTTTTTCCCTCAGCACTTTAGTGGTACGAATTTCATTTCGTTCATAATCAGGACATTGTTTCAGGGTTCTCAAAAACATTTTGAGTAAGCGGACGGTGCAGTACTAAAGGTCGAAGACCCTCTGCGGGCAAAGGCTCCTGGAACCACAAGCATTCGAAATAGCCGGCGCATTTTTCAGATTAGAATGAAAAGTACCTTTTGACAACCCTGACATTGTTCTATAATTGATTATTTTTAAGTTCTCCACACAACTGGTCAGTTGTTAGGTGGCTCAGTTCTGCTACTGCTTAGTCTGATTCAGCCCACAGCACGCATTTTCTCAGAAGCTGCTCCAAAAGATATTTTTTTATACATCAAGTCGAAAAATAAATGGTTACTTTTCTGTAAAATATGACTAAAGAGAAATTCTTACGTATTTATAGAGGTTGAGAAGCCAACAGCTATTTTATTAGTAATTAAAACTGTACATTACTATACAAACCCCCGCAGACTTAAAAACATTTTTCATGTCCTCTAACGTCATTTTCAAGTTAATGTGGCAGGTTAAAATAGCGTCTTTGCATAATTTGAAATTTTTTTCTTTGGTAAAGGAGATTTTTAAGTTAGTCATGTAATGTCTGAGAAAGTTGATTTAAAGAAAAATTGCCACTTTCAGTTACAGTTCAGACTGCTGACTTGCCTGATAATTTTGCTTTAGATTGGTTTAGCCGCGACCCCGAGAGCAATATCGAGGTTCTCGCGCGAAACAACCATGAAATCATGTAGGGAAGAGGTGTGAAATTCGAAAAAAAAAAACACTATAACTTTCGAAGTCTGATTTCAGCGAAATTTATGAAAAATAGCCTCCTGAATGTATATGAACACTTTTTTGAATTTCGACTCATGTTGGCACTTCCAACACTATATACCATACTCTGCTCCCTTATTTGAAACGGTAAGAGTTACATTATTTCATAAAACAGGTTTCGTCAACTAAATCTAGCCCAAATTTCGAAAAAAATTAAGAGTGGAGAGGATCTTAACTTATCGGAGCTTCACTTCTAGTCCTTGTGGGCTCAGTGAACTACTCTCTGCATGCCAGGATGCCAGGATAGCATAACATTGAGTTCCAGACTCCCAACTTGGAGGCTGATTCCACGTGACCATGTAGGATGGAAAGCGCGCGAAATTTTCGGTAAGACGCGTGTTCGGACCTTTATTTTCGTGCTGTGGCTTGTGAATGAAGAAGTGAATTCTCCTCAACTGTGACACTTAAACTTACGCTATCTTTGAGAAATGAGTGTTTCGTTCATTTGTAGCATTTAACACCTGTCAACGTTCATCAAAAGGACTCCGAATTCAGTACACAGAGGATAGAGGTTCTTCGATGAGGGAATTGTCGATCTTACAGCCGCTTCGTTCACACGCTCGAAGCCATGTCCCTGGTACTGTAAACCTTTTTTTGAAAAAAAATTTAGAGCATACTGTTCCTTACTTCTTTAAAATTTGGTTCATTTTTGATAAAACTTAAATGCAGTAAGGGCTTAGGGGGGAAAAGCCAATTTTTAAAAGGTTGATTAAATTTAGTATGGTTAATCTCGCATTTGGGGAAATACTACGACATACTTTTTTCCCATGCGTTTTCGTTACCCGCAAAACAGTCACTATTTAAATATTTACGTTAATCTTTATTTGGCCGATTGAATCCTACCTGTGTTTCTAAGTTGTCCACCACTGAGTTTGTATTTTTTTTGCTTTTTATATTCGCATGGAAGCCATCTTGGATGACGGAAGATTGCATTTCCATGCTGAGATGGGACAGTATTGTGAAGTAACTTGAGAAAACTTCAAATCCAGGAAAGTTTATGGATGGCAAATTTAAGGTACTAACTAAAGAATTTAATTAATACAGTTTTGGGTTGTACTGTACTTGTACTTGAAAATCGCCGGTGAATTGATCCTTAAATTTTTCTCGGCGAACTGTATGTCTTAAGAATAAGTTGTTAAGCCCTGGAGAAAATAACTGACAAATCTCTTTCCTACGCGAATTGTAGCGCTGAAATTTTATCCGTCGAAAGCTGTGGCAGCTTATATTTATGATTGTGCTACTTTTTGTTTCCACGAGTCATTAAAATTTTCAGTCTTGAAAACAAGTCTCCAAAACCATGATCAAGTCCTTTCCCTTCCTGGCGAAATTACATTTGTTACCTAACTAACCCTTAACCCCCTAACATCAATATGCAAGTTCCCCATACTGTTCGCTTTACATTCCCTAGGGTAATTAGAAGAAGAATTTGTCCAACAGTCAAGAACTTCTTGCACTCATGATCATTTCCTTTCTTCTTATAACTGTAATTTCTGGTGGAGGGGTGACACTGTCGAAAGAAAAGAGATGCTTTTGGGGGTCAAACAGGGCAACAATGATCTTGGATAAAAGTTTTCTCTGGAAAATTGTTAATGTTGGGAAGAGAGTGGTAACTTTGACTTTAGAGAGAATTTCTATGTGGGATAGGTTAAATGGGTTTTTCTGTTTTCAAGGTCTTAGCTTCAGGTGAGTTAATTAGTGTCTAGCAACTGCTGTTTAAGGCAAGTTAATGCATTTGGCTCCTGTGAAAAGTGTATCCTTAAAGGGGTGAAGAAGTATCAGGAGTATAACATGACAACCTAACAATTAAAAGAAAATAGTTCAATTGTGTTTACCCAATAAGAAAATCCACATCTCCTCTGTGCAAATATGATTGTAAGAAATGATTGTAGAAATCACTTCACTACTTCCCCAGAAGTAAAATCATCAACCACTAAGTAGTAGACCGGAGACTACTGGTAATTAACCAGATGTCATTAGACACTTAACCTTAATTTTATTTTTTTCTAGCAGCAGCTTGTACATGTGAGATTGCAGGCATAACAATGGGTCTGAATTAATTTCAGACTGTTTCCATTTCATGGAAACACTTTTAAATTACTTGAATTGAACTGATTTCTTTTAAATATGCTCTCTATGATTAAAACAAAATCAAGTGCAATTACATCCTTGTTTCAAATAAGTTTTAAGCTATAATTTTTGGTCAGTTTGTCCTCTAAGCCTTTGTCAATCTACAGCATCATCATCCCTGATGATGTCACAGATAGGCAAAGACTTAGAAGATTCATTGATTAATCATGTTACTTAAAGGTATCCCTTATAAGAAATCTTGTACCACTTACATAATCCAACATGCTTCTGAAGTATAGTTGAATTGCTTAGTTAAGGGCACTTAAATTAAAAGGCCAAGGCCAATGAAAAGGTTATTAGAACATTACTTTGAGGGGGAAAACAGATTCCTACATGATTTAAGACATAACCAATTCAAGATAACAATACTGCTGCAGCTTTTCTCTTTGCAGAGACAAATTTCTCTCCCTTAAAACTCCAGCATCAGTGCACTGGAATGAATTTGTATAACAAAATCTTTTGTCTGAGCAGTATTATTTTATTGTGCTGACAAAAGATATGTAAGGTCTGGTGTTGTTGACATTTTTAAGGCAAATTGAAGAAAAATGACTTAAATTTCAAGGTTTGGGCTTTGCCACTGTTGGTAAAGGAAGCATATATGACCTTGTAATGGGTTGCAAAGACAGCTTAATGAAAGACAATCAACTAATTCTTACTTTCCTTGTTTAACAAAAAAATAAGTACAGTCACAAAGATCATTTGAAATTAATGGTTGTATTCAAATATTTGGTGCTTATTGCAAAATCACATACAAAACTGTTAGCATTTAATTTTTTAAGTGTTCCTGCCACTCACCACTAAATTTTAAAGACAGATGAAAAAACATGATGACATGTATTTTTCAGCACGAATCTTTATATATTACTAGGATTATCTTATGAAGACTACAAAATATCAGAACCATACAAATGTACTGTAGGAAAACTACTATTGGTATAAAAGAAACCCTTTTACAAAAGATAGCCCTATTTTTAAATGTCTACAACCAGCCCAAAAAATCAGCTGCTCTGAGCAGTTAAGAAGTACAGCATTAAGACATTTCATTGTTTATAAACTCTACATCTTTTTGTGAAACTACAAAATTCATCATGATTAGTTTTAAAACAAGAACTCTATTTAAACTATTTACAAACCTGATGTCCTACAAAACAATTCTACTCTCTAAATCTATATTTTGTATTCTATTATTCTCTACTTTAATTATAGAAAATTATTATCAAAATTACTGTACTCAAGAACATTTTCTTGTATCAATTGCCACCATAATTACAATTTCAAAGTTCCAAAATTAAACCTGGAAAAATAAACTGATACAAAAACTGGCAAGCCATTTCCATCAGTTTTGAGACTATTTACAACAATTGATCAGCACATTAACCATTTCAAAAACAGACACAATTTTATAGGCTGGGCAAGGTATTTGCCTTAAAGCAGGTTTTACTTTCTTAAGTACAGATTAATCGACTGGAGTTGACAAAGTGTTTTCTGAGATGGGTTTTTTCACTTGTGTGGCCCACTGTGGCTTAAGCCTGTTTCCCTTTCCCTAAAAGACATTCGGTATCGTAGGCACTGGAATACAAATTTAGCAAAGCATGCATCCCATTCACAGTAAAACCTCTCTTTTTCTGAATTGATTATATAACACTTAAATTAACATCTCACTTTTCTAAAATGGAAGTAGAAAATTTTTTAGTTTCTCTCTTTATCATACCAAACTTGAATGAAGTTCAGACCATACTCATCAACAGCTACTTCTCATTTTTGCTGAGCAAAATCAGTAGAAAATAGAATTATTGTCAAACCAGTGACCATTTTCATGGTGTCATTTCAGGTTTTCAGTAATATGTGCAAGTTGAAATGCAGTTAGTGAATTTCACCTCAAGAAGAAATTTATATGAGAGTGGTAGCACAAAAAAAGCAAATTTGAAATTGTTATTTGCACTTTTGTGGACAAAAAGTTTTTTATTTCCACTTGCACATGCAGATTATATATATTAGTACTCTGTTGGAACATCTGTAGCATCATGTAAATCTTCCTCACTATATCCAACATTCAGGCTTCTTAAGGTAATATATTATGTTTGATCAATGTAATCTTTAGAGAAAACTATGACCACAAGCAACCAATGTATGCAACTCTTATATGAATATGGTCTACTGAGGAACACAGTTATTGCACTGCACCCCACCACTCACTCACAGTATGTAATTAGACTTGCTTTAAAAAACAAACAAACAAAAAAAAACCAGCTCCTCTAGTTATCCAGATAAAAATTCACATTTTGTACATCCAGCATGCTTTTAGACAATGTTTTCTCCACTGTCAAATGACCAATTAACATCAAGCCTTAACACCTTTGACAAGACTTTACCAAGAGTGGATTGAGTGTGTTATCATTACGAAATTTAACTTCAACTATTCTTTTGATTGAGTGTTTACGCATGGAAATATTCTAAATAATGCGAATGTACTTAAATTTACTTTCCAAAATACTCTACTAATGCAATTTATAAATAGGACCAGTTATTCTTACTCTAAAAGCCTATATAAATTCTTTGGTTTGTACATGGATGCTTCTAATATTTTATGCTAATATCTTTACAGAAGAACAACTTACAATAACTTAACATATGGCAAAACCAAAGCATTCTCTGAACCTGGCTGAACCATCTTTTCTTAGTGCTAAGTTTCTTCTATCTTGGCATGCTGTGTACTACTTTATCTTGTGGGATGGACTGGACTGGCTTTTACTAGCCCATTTAATTTAAAGGCCTACCATCTGGGCTGCTGAAGATAAGACCAGTTTTAGGGTACCCTGGGAACCAAGCAGCCTAAGATGATATCCTGGCTGACATAACATCTACTGACTCTGCATTGTTGTTAACTGGAAAGAAATTCCTCTCTAAAATTAAAAGAATATAAGGAGGCTTTGAGTGGCAGTTTTAGGTACACAAGGTTCTCATAAAGTGCTGCATGCTTGCTTACAGGCCATCTTCTTTGATTTCTAAGTCCCTTGCTTTTTGTGAAATAATGTGTACTATGCAACTGGTGAATTATAATAAAATTACAAAAAAAAAGCTGTCACAAACAAATTAGCAAACAGAAAATCAATTTGCACTCCACAAAAAAAACTTGGTCTTCCTTTCTTTTTCTTTGTCTTACTTTTTTAGTTCATGTCTATTTTCTATCCTGTGGGTTTGTTTTCACTTAAGATACTTGAAATTTTGTAAAACTGCACATTTAAAGCAACTATGCATTTTCTGGCAGAGCATGCACATAGGCCTCTGCCACCCTTCCTAAATGCTGTTGCCTTTGTTATCAGTACTTGAATTGTGAACTGTCCTCACAATGCATCAAGTCATCTTCCTCATCAATTACTTAGAACCCCTGGCTAGAAAGATATACGCGATATGTAAAAGCATCTAACAACTACCTTCAAGCATGTTCTCATCTGGATTCATACCGCCAAACCCTGACACCATCTGGTAGTCAGTGGACTCCTCTTCAGATGCAACATTTCCACTGCTTGAAACAGGTGCTACTTGGATAGCTGTGGGCCAGCGAGGAGGTATACTACCCCTTGGTGTATTTCCAGGTGATGTGAACAAGCTCATTGGAAGTGATGGACTTACAGCAGATAAGCAACCAGGTGGCAAGTTTGGGTAGCTGAACACTTGCTGGTTGTGATTGCTGTATGATGATGCTCCACCGTTTGGATTGTTTGTAGGAGACTGGGGATTGAAATCACAGTGAAAAAAAAAAAGAGTTAATCCTGTTTTGTGGCTCTGAAAATGTGGAACCTCATGGGAAAAAGTACATACCCATACCCTCAGGAATACACTAACATTAGCAAAATGCGTGAATGTTATTAATTGGGAAAAATGCCTTTGGATATGGATGATGCCCTCAAAGCCAATGACTTTTCTCTACAAGAAAAAATGTTCCTGGGTACTCCATGGCAATAAACCTAACATAAAATAATTCATGGAAGGAGGTAGCACTCATGTTCCAAAATAATAATATAATAATAATAATAATAATAATACTAATAATAATGATAATGATAATGATAATGATAATAATAATTGCCGTATTAGGTAACATGAAAAGTTTTGTTCATGATCTCAATTACCTGAATAATCTGGACAGTTGTGTTCAGTGTTATTCCTGAGGGAGGACTTGTTTTACTTGGGCTTGTTGACACTGGAGATTGTTGCTGCTGGTGTACTGGAGAGTGCCGTGGTTCTGCTGCATTATAGCTACTGCTCCCTGTGCTTTGAATGATACTGTTACTACTTGGTGATCTTGTCAAAGGAGGAGGTATGACTGCTGATGTTCCAGGAACAATGTGCCTACCATTTGGTGCTGAACTGGAGCGCGGTCTCTCAAGAAGCTGGATGAAATCACTGGGGGCACCAGTGCGACAAGGAGCAGAACCTGTGACAATCATGGACATTTTTCTTAATTATATCTTGCCTATAGAACTACCCCATTTACAAAGCCCAGTAAGGCCATAAAAATGTAATGGATGGTTGGATTTATAACAACATAGTTGACTAATGCATTGAACAAGTCAATTCCCTTTTGGACAGCAAAAGAGAATTCTGGCAAATGGCTTTTGTTCCCAAGATGACAATGTACCAGTAAGCCTTACACTTAGCACTGGTAGGCAACAATGTGAGACGTATTGGATCCCTATCAATACTTTGTATTCAGTAAGTGCCATGCAACACATGCAAAAGAAGATTGGATTCTTAAAATACATTTACCCTCTCCACCTTACCAACAGAAGGGATGTGTGCATTTGGCATCGGCAGGCGGAATGTAAATCCCTGCTGTGGAAGCTGTGGAACAAGCCCACAACTTGCTTGTACATGGCCTTTAGGTGCTGATGCTAGTTGCATAATATATGATGTATCATTCATATTGCAGTCTCTCATTTGCCTGAGGTGTAACTGCTGAGTCTGACCACTGTATGATGTGACTGCAGGTGACTGTGGTTCATTCACATTACAACAAGTGATGGCAGAGTGATGGTTCTCCATTGGGCTGTATCCTGTGCAGTTCTGTTCTGGTTTAATCTTAGCAGGGTATGGTACCATTGGAGAGTGGATGACACTGGATCCTGAAAATTCAGTAACACAGAATTTAGCAAGGAATTAAATGAAACTAAATGACTGAAATTTTCATTGAGAAATGTAAATTTTCCTTTAAACACTCTTTATTCCAACTTTTGAGAATTTTTTACCTCAATTCAGTTTCTTCCCAATCAATAGATGAATGCTGCAATTATTACAGTGGCTTATAGTTCATGATCACAAATGCTCAGTTTTCATTTTGTCTTACCTGAATCATCATTTTGCCAGTTCGATCCTTGAGAAGAGAAACTTGCTGGTGACTGAACATACAGTCCTGTGCTATCCCTATCATCATCATCACAGTCCTCGTCAACTGACGAAACAGAGCTTATTGTCCGACTTCGTTTTCTGTACCTTAGGTCATATGCATCTGGTCGTGGATGTATGCTGACTGCATTTGGGAAGCGCTGCTCAAGACCTCCATCACCATAAGGTGGGCTCTCTAAGTCTGATAACATTAGGCTGTGTGATGAGCTCACACATTTGATGGGTGCTAAAAGAGTTGGAAAATATATTATTTACATTAACAAACTGATAGGCTCTTTGATAGGAGAACTAGAAAGTTTGGGAAATAAATTACATGCAATGGGTTTGTCAAACAGAGCTAAGAGATGGATTTCATATATTTTACTTTGGTTTGTTATTGAATTCCTCAGTTCACATAATGTATCTTAAAAAAAATTTTTGAAATGCCTAAACATTCAATGTAGAGCTGCTTAATTTCTTTTTAGTGAAAGGCTTTACACTTCTTCATAGATAGAAAAGCTGAAAACAAACAGATTCAAGAAAAAAATGTTACTTTATTTAAGATGTAAAGTTAAAAAAAAAGTTAGAGTAGATACTACATTGTCTGCTGGAATGCATAATTTTTTTAACTATAGCGTATGAATACCTATGTGTATTTGAGAAAGAAGAACGACGAATGGCTGTAGCTTGTCTAGGGCATTGGCATGACAAGTATTGCCAGAGCCTACAAGACAACTAACATCTGATACAAGATTTTGGCTTGAAAATTAAGTACAGTTTTGCTGCAGTTGTTGAGGTTCAGCACAGCTAGAGCCTCTGTTACGAAAGACTTATGCCTCAAGATAGATTCACAACACAAAGTCACATGTAACCCAGTCATCTACAAAGTTGCAAGATATTTAACTGAATGTAATGTGCACTTGTGAAAAAACACTTTCAGTTCTATGATAAGTGAAGAGAAACAGACCTTACGAAAGTAAACTTCTGATAAAGTTTTCAGTTAGGGTAGCTTTTGCTTCTAAATGAGTACATCAAGCAAGTGAGTAACAAGGAAGATTGCCTTTGATTAATAACTACATTTATCTAACAAAATCATGTTATTTTTTCAAAGAGCTAATTACAAGGGTCAAGGTAAAGTATAAAAAGCGAGATGGAAAATATTTTGAGTATGACCAAATATGGACTCTAAATTAGCAAAGCTTAAAATTTCTAAATAGCTTTTAAAGATGTCTGTGAATGTAACTAGTACTTGCTTATAAAGAGACTCACTTCTAGCGTAGGTGTAGAGCTCTGCTACTGTAAACACACCAGATGAAACCAGATTCTGCTCAGTACCAACTAAAAAAATAATGATAGTTATGTTGATTTATTTTGAAGCAAAATACCATGACATAGTATTGTAGTGGGATGCAGCTATATACTATTTTACCAGAGCCTTAATAGTCAAAGCAGTGTATGTTTACCCTCTGCTTCATCATCCCTGATTGCAGTTTTGCAACTCTAAGGAATCCAAAGGGAGTAAAGTTCTGCAAATTTTGAACAGAACTCAATTATAAGGTCTTTTTGCAGTGTTCTTTAAATATTTGCAACATACAAACAAGATGGCATAGTACATTATAGTAAACCTATTATATTTGTGATGCACAGACATATATTTCTATTTTTTAATCCTTTTTTTTTGTAACTTTTACAATAAGACTTGGTCTTAAAAATTGAATTTCTTGAAAATGTACTTTTTCATCTTGAAACTCCATTTTTTTCAAGAATTTATATTTCAACAAAATTAAAGGACACCAAGGTGAATATTCAGAAGAAATGATAATCCCTTGCATATTTCATTATTGAAGTCTTAGGTTGACCTTGCTTTTCTATTAAATTCCCTGGCATCCACCCTATGAAGAATTGCTTAAAAATTAATGGTTGACATCAGATAACAAGACACACAATGTGACATTTAATGTCAAAAGTAACTGGTATTGGGTTTTAACTGTCAAACTGTAATGATTACATTGTGCAAATATTTTTTAATTTTCTTAACTCCAAGTCCTTTTTCTATGGAATATTACAAGAAAGTCAACCTAATGAAAATGTGACTTTTGTGCATATGTTGAAACTAGAAAACTAACCCAACTTCTTTTCGCCGATGCACAGGTATTTCAGCAGCAAGAGAATTTCATGTCATCAAATTTGCACATCTTGGCAAACAAACAAAAAAGATCTTTCTTGAATCAACCATACCTTCAGCTGACCTTTTGAATATCATTCCTGAAATACTGGATTGATATGCTTACATGCATCTTTTTATCAGTAGTAAAGATTAAAATATTGCAAGGTATTTTTAGATAAAAGAAATAACATCTGATAACTGCTACAAAGGCAAGTTTTTGCTATATGAAATTAAATATTGACTGTTTGTTAACCCACACCAAATCTTACATCTGCAAAAAGTGACAACTTATAACAATGCTTAATGCTATCTAAAGTTTTGACTTGCACCTGCTTCTTACTGGTAGCAACACAAATTTCATTAACGTGCTAAATGCTACAGCTTTTATGTACAAAATATGCAGGGATGGTAGTTTTCCTTTGTGCAATGCACTCTTAAAATGTTAATCTCTCTTCCCCTTAGAAGAGTCCATGCCAGAGTGTTCTTTACTTAAATTACAGGAACTTCCTGACTCTATGCATTGCTATGCAATTAACTATCTCAAGTGTTAACTGTAATCTGATTCAGAGAGGAAACCCTGTGTACACACACCAGCTATTTTAAACAAGGGTGATGAAGCTGATAGGTGACTGAAGAAAATTATTTCATAGATAGTTCATTTTGTGATTGAGAGGACTAAATGGTTGGCCATGAGGGAAAAAATAACAAATAGTACATGTTCCATATTTTAGGACAAGTTTCAAAAGAAAAGCTGTATTTCTTGGTTAGCAAACAGCTTACAATGCTGTTCACTGATTGTCTAGCACAAAATTTCAGAGTAAAGCTCATGATGAGGTAATAAGTTTGTATGCAACAGTGAAACCCTTTCCAGTGGTACAATCCCCACTACTGATCGCTTGAGCCCTGAACAATTATTGTGCAAAAGAAAGATAAGGTGATAGAAGTGGGTTTGAATGTGTGGATAACAAAATTAAAGTATATTGAAATATTAATTTATGTTTTATTCAGAATTGGCAGGTGAAGATGATACTGACGCATGATTTTTACCAAAGGGAAATTGTTGGCTAGATTACCTTTAGTGTTGAATGTGAATGAACTAATTCACTATTGCTAGGGGCTGATAAAGAGGCCCACTCAAGTACAAACATTGTTTAGGTTATTGAATAAGTGCATTTTATTAAGAGTACAATTCCAAAGGAAGTGGTAAATGAAATTTGTATCCTTTTCATAAAAAAATTTGAAAGAAGAAAGAAAATGTGCTGAGACAGAGCAGATTTGTTGTTGATGTTGGGGATTTTATCTAAGTTGGGTAGAAGGTTTTGTGAAATTAATAAAACAAGAAGTGACTAGAAAAATCAATGTTTTGTTGTTCATCACAAAATCTTTCCTATATTGAGTGTTTTCCTTGTTAAAATTTAGCATTGCAAGAGACCATGGGAAAAAAGCAGCCAAAAAACACAATATCTACCAATTCTATAAAGATACCTTGCCCATTGGTACATTTGTTTATATAACAGAACACACTTCAGCTTTAAGATAAAAAAAAGAAACAACAAAAATTTTGGATTTACCTGTCACTTATACAATATGTTCAAGAAACCTGGCATTTTAAAAATCACAAACAAAACGAGTTTGTTCAAAACCCCTTAAACTTAGATAGAAATTCTCACTCAAGTGTGTGTACTAAGTCCTGGCATGCCCTAAAGTTACTTCCATCAACTATTCTTGAAATCAAACAAAAGTAGTGGTAAGATTAACTCTTTAATCCTTTGTAAAGATTAAGTTGTAACTTCTCCATTCCTATCAACAAAACTAACTCCATCCGTCAAACCAGGGGTAGAGAACCAGAAATCTTAGTGGAAAGCATGTAAGCTTAAAAAACCGCATTCCTGCAAGGATTACTGCATAAAAATATAAACTACATAATGATAATTCTGATGCCTGACCTTGGAAGAAATATGTGTTGTTGTCATGTCTATTGTTTAAGATATCACCCCATAGTAAATCACAACCTTTTGACATTTTACAAGACAATAACTTGTCAAATGACCAAAGAACAATGCTTGTCAACAATTACATTCATTAGTATCTCTTCCGTCAATCATTTAAGATTTTGAAAGTTAGTTTTTGATTCAAGTTTTATCTCGGAGGTGTAGCAAATTGTTCACATGACGTAGAGAAAGAAAAGCAAGGAATTTACAAAGCAGATAACAGAAAAAAACAAAGAAATTAGGAGAGCGCGTTTTTATACACTGTGATGTGAATAGTGTCACGACCTAGGAAGCCATACACAAGAGTTTAATTTCACATGGAAGGAATGCAATGTTGTTGTATCGAGTAACTCAGTCACGTTAAACAAAACCGCAAGAGCATGCCTCTTAGAAAGTGATCGTTCGTAAGTCGTGTTTTACCCAAAATTGTGAAAGATTTAGTCCCTCCCCAAAGAAAGAAATAAAGAGAACCCTAACTGTACGCGAAGATGGCTTGCTATCATAGTTCTCGAACCAGTTTCGCATGACTCGGTACTTTCCTATTGCATGCACGACCAGAAACAGCTTATATCCTTCCACTTACATAAAACCCAAGGTCAAGAAATCACATCTTTCGAACAATTTGTTTTCCATTTGCACTTATAATTCTCAAATATAATTACATACTTCCAATTTTGTCATTTCACAGAATGTAACAAAGGAAGGACAACTAAAGAATGATCTAGAACTTTTTTAAGTGCTGCAAAAAATTAATTAATGCGTAGCAATTTATGGTATATTTTTACGAGAGAGAATTCAAAGGAATTCTAAAAACAAGATGAACAAAGGGTTAGCAAGTGGATACTAACAACAAAGCGAAATGTCACGAATGATTTCCTCTGGTTAAGGCCTATATGTTAATGTTAACCTGAAGCAAAAAGAATATATTAATATGTATGAACAAGCTAAGTGTTAGTGGCCATCGCAAAAGTAAACCTACGACTCGTAAGGGAAGGAGTTAAAGCAACAATTAAGTCCCCGTGCCCATGATGGTTGTTTGCGAATTCTCGTTTTTCAGGCAGAAACAGTTACGGCAAAAGTAATTGTCTTCCGCGTAACACAATTCTTTTACGAATACGTAGATGTTGTTTGCACATCGTTGTTACTCGAGTTTCATTCTTGGATCGACTCGCGTAAAGCTCAAGGGGAAATATGAAACTTGTCTCCTTTCCAATGGGCTCACAAGAACTTCGTGTACTTTGGTAAAAAGCTTCTGGGCCAAACAACAATGAATCTAAATGTTTACTAAACGGCACTTTTTTGTAATCATGTATTACCTTACTTACATTCAATACGCAATGGAATTTATGCAACACTTAGAGGAAGTCGTTCACAATTCTAGGGATAATAGAATCTTGCGAACAAAATAGCAGCGATTTCCTGAAATAGCACGTGTAGCCCGGAGGGGCTAATTTTTGCGATTACACAAGGCATGCAAATGGGGCTCTTAGTTTTACCTTTAACAACAATGAAACGTGGTTTCTACTGGGGGGATAACGCAACGAGAACAAAAACAAAAGCCTTCTGAGCGAATTAATTTGGATTGTCCAAATGCGCGCACGTGTCGGGTCACAACAAAACAACAACACTGCGTTTGTCCATGAAAAAATAGTCCATTTTACTCCTTGCCACGGCCTAAATTCGCAACTTACTTGTAATTCTGTATTTTTCACTTTGAATACATTTACGAACAGGTCCTACAAAGAAGATATTAAAAATTTATACTTACTTTGATGAGAATCTGGATCGCCAGAACTTCGTACGGGACTGTTGGAATCCTGTTTGTGCTCTGCGAGTAAAATAGGGAACTAATTGCGGTCGATGGAACACAAGAAAACAAACTACACAAACATAACAATTTCAATTCTTTTGGGTAATAAAACGATTAAATTACACACCCAAAGAACTTAAACAGTTTTCTGTTTTAATTATTAAAGAGAAACATAGCACCTCCAACTTGTTGATAGGAGAGACGGTACCCGAGAAGCAGAAAATTTAACTATATAACTCAGATGTGCTGGCATTTAAACATCTGATCAGATGTGTTCTGTGACTGATAGTCATCGACAATACAGGTGGAAAATCTTACCTCGGTTGCACATAAAGTTGGCAAGAAATAGATCCAGTTCTCGAACTGTCACTGTGATATGGTTGGGCAAGACACACAGAGTGTGATTCTGGCAGTGCTGCGACTTGCCCAGGCGTTCGCCATCCGTGCTTTCCAACGGAATGCCACGGAACAAGATAACCATAACCAAATCTAGTCTCCACACTTTGTCGGCTTGGCGAAGGCAGTCGATACGCCTCATTTTCCCCTTCTGATCGGGGTTGGAAATTACGCAACGGCACGAAGAGCCGGGTTTGTTTCCAACGACCGACATCACGAAGTCCTCTCTGCATTCTTGCCGAATGTCTTTTCGAAGCTTTGCCAAGAGCCTCGAGGCCCACTTCTGTTTCACTTCAGGGGCTTCAGCATCTAGCTCTTCTTTGCACCTTCTCTCCTCATCAGGAGTCATTCGTACTTCATGCTTCTTATAATGCTTTCGCTTTCTTGCTTGCAAATTAAACCACGTATAGGCGAAGGCCTTGACGTGAGGGAGCAAGGCCTCGATGAACGAGTGTATCTCGTCCTGGAAATCAAATAGACCAGGGTTAGTCATTTTTACGAAGTCGACTAGAGATGTACTCTCGCCGCTAACCATGTTGCCCTCAGCTTTACCCCGTTCACTGAGGCCCATCTGAAGACATGATAGATTTTTTTTCTCAATCTACGCACACTGTTTACTTCGTGTCATGCGTGTCAAAAACACATTCGGTTTGTCCATCACGTATGGTTCAGCCAATCAGCACGAGTGCAGATGACAAAAGACAACAAAAGCTGTCAAGTGTTGACCATTGGAGAACTGAGGTTTCACGGCGCCACTTTACGGAGAATTCAAACATCAATCGGGTTTATTTAGGCCCTATAGGATTTTGTCATTTCTATGTAAACCGAGACATGAAACCTGAAAAAATCTTTCCGAAAGTCGGATCATTCCCACGCCGACTTCCGTATTACGCTACAAGACTACTCCACAATCAATTACTGAGTAATCACAAATAATCGACAGAATTTTTCACGGTGGCGCGAAACTGAAAGAATGCTTTGTTTGGTGGTTCGACCAAATCATAACTCTCCCACACGAATCAGTTAATGAAACATCGATGTAAGTTAAGCGTTAATTATGATGCGCGCGACAATACTATTATGCACACAAACAGAAAGCGATCGGACGTTCGAAAACAATCGATAGCTAAGATCGTTTGGAATTTGTTTCGACCACAACTTCCCAAAACAAGGTGTGCAAATTTTTCTCTATTATTTGATGGACAGATACACACAGCTTGGCGCCGTGCGGTCGACAGTGAGTCATATTGTGGTTGCAGTTTCAAAGTATAAATTTTGCTATCACTTATCGGCATGATCCGAGGTATAAAAACTTGGGATTACATTTTTCTCACTCAGTAAATTATGAGTCACGAAGTACCTGCAACTTAATAAAGAAAGTTGGTGTGACAATATTCACATGTAAACAAAAACATAAAACTACTCATCACAGAAACACAGGGCAACTTTAAAGAAAGAAACGTGTAATAGAGGAAAAAATAGACTTAATTTTAATCGGAAATGACGTATTTGTAGTACACATCATGTACAAGTTCTTCAATCTTAAAGGACTTGACTATGGCGTTGTTTTTTTAAATGATTATGCCAGGCCTATTTAGAAAACACTTGTTGTCATTTTAAGCCTAATCTATCCTATGTCAAAAGTAACATTTCCTGAATGCAGTCTTTTTAAAACCTGATAGCGATAAAATACGCAGCCCTTGATCCAGCGTATCCTATTGTCGTTTTCATTTGACATGACACTGTTTTTCAGAGGCTGACACAAACATCAATCAATATTTAATTAACGTAATCAGCTTTCTGAAGTTCACTTTGAGACCTAAAACTAAACGAAGGACGTCATCACGACCCTTATGATTTCATTAGTAGAAAAACGTAACCCTGAAAACGATTACGAGCTCAATTCTCCCGCAAAATTAAAAAGAACTGTTGATCCAGCCTTAATTGATTTTGCATACTTGGTAAACTCCAGCTTGCAAAACAATGAGGACCCTCTGAAGCGGCTTAAAAGTTAATTGTCCTAATACCCTTGTGCGTAAGAAGAGTGCGTCACGTATCAGGTTTTCGCTCTTTTAGTCAGGAAGTCGTTGCCACGTCTCGTGATTATGGGCGGAGGTTAACAAGCAGGAATCACAGCATATCCTTATTAGGCCCAAGGTGAAGCGGAGCCCCATATAAGGTCTGGTAAACATGTGCTCAGCTCATGGGGTCACTTGATTGCAAGTGAGCTGCGGTGTACGAGCGAAAACGGATTACAGGAAGTGGGGTTCAGAAAACAAACAGATATTGTGGTTTTTAACGAAACGTACAAGACTGTAACCAAATAAGGTGTAATAATGCTTGACTTGTTAATGCTACTAAACAACTTAAAAGTCTCACTTCAGTTCTGTCACACCTGAATTTATTACATATGCCAAGCAGAAACAAAGGACGGGAAAATTCCCGCGTTTCACTATTCATTAAGGTGGTTTTTTAGGGACCTACCTGATTCTCATGCAAAATGTTGCTTAATGATCGATTCAATGAGTTGTTTTGCTTCCTAAACTATACTTTTACCTCACAAAAGAACAATACTGATAACAACACAATAGCAACAATAGCTTACTCAACAGGATATAGGTGTGCCTCAGACACATGTTTGTAAGCGGAACATAAGCTATTTTTGTACTTATTTACACTAACTACTCATCAAGAAACTTGTCTGCATTGATATAATTATTAACAACAACACGTATTTTGGGTTATGTAAATATCCCATCCACTATTGCTTTAAATTCAAATAAAATAAAATTGTTATTAGAAATTAATTTTGACTTCAGTGGAATGAGGAAAAAATTCCAAATTAATTTTTTTGAGAGGGAGAATTACAACTGTTACACCCCAATATCCATGAATGCATTTTTGGGTTTAGTCATACTAAAAAAAATAATCTTTACATAATTCCTAAATAGCAACAAAAGTGTCAACCTAGGTGTAACTAAATAAAAACTGGGAAATCACAGTAATTGAAAATGCAGCATAATCTCTCAGTATTCTGCAAGGAGTCAGTCAGTCTTAAAAAACCTAGACTTAAGAGGTTTAAATGCCCTGTGAAGGCTCTTGGTGGTGTCTGACTAATGGAAGGCTTGACCTTAGTCTAAAAATTGATGAGAGATACCCTAATAACTTCTGATGCTATAAGATGAGTACTATACTGACCACCTCACTAGCACTGTACACATGAAACAAGCTTGAAGATTGAAAACAACTTTGATCACATATATACAGGACAACTTCCACCTCAACTCACAATTCCAAAATACTTTTGAATAGGCCATTAATCTGAAAATGAATAATCAATTATCTACCCAAAATAGTTCAGCGAATGGCATTCTATGTTAAGTCCTGGATGAAACTTCCAACCACAAGTTACTGGGAGTCTTAAGATTGGGACCGTCTTTTAAGTAAGCATATTGAAAATATAAACAGGAAACTTTCCCAATGTATGGGTGCCCACCAGTAAGTCTGACATAAATTACCTCCAAATGAAAGAGTGCTTTTCCATAATGCAACTTTTAAGCTAAGTATGGAAAATAAGTTTTGGGTGCAACCTTCAGAAATAACTTTTGATGATGATAGGCTTACAGAAAAGGTGAGTGATGGTAAATCTGGAAGTTCAAACAAGGAAAAAGAGAACTGCTAAGCTCTTTAAGAAATTAAACTAAATACACTTTAACTTAATGTCTCATTTACCCATCTGATGAAACAGACTTCAACACTTCCTAACAGTTTACAAGACACACAGAAGTTATGTGTTGGCACTCTAAATTAAACAAGGAAACAGAAAGCAGAAAATCCTTTCTTGCTCCAGCTGTTAAATTGTGGAAAGCATTACCAGTATTTGTGAGGGTAAGTTCCACAATGTGGTTTTTAAGCCAAACTAATTTCACTACCTCCACTGAACATCAATACCTGACAATTTTTTTTCCAAATATTGAGGCCTGAACTTCCTTCTATGATGTAACTACAGCTCAAGGACATTTAGATTCAAAATAACCAATTTTCTCTCAGGATGTACTGTCTTTCTTCACCCAAATTAAATCCCAATTAGAAGGTGTAGATGAACAGAAGATGACACTGTTCATCGACAAAAAAATTTGAATTTATTTAAAACCTTTTTTTTTTGATGGGTAATTATTTTTTTTAAAGGAACTACCTCAATAACAGACCTCTTTAAATGGATGTTTTCTTAATAATGAAGTCTTCTAAAGAAAATGTAGCTGCAAAACCAACTTCTTAAACTTTGATCAGGCTTTGAGTGCAATGTATGACTAATTCTACTGAGAAGCAAGAAGTTTGTATGACTTTTGGTAAAATATTTACAGAGAGAGTTCCCTAATATTTCTACAGTTACATGGTCAGCAGATAAATGTAGAGAAACCTAAAGTAAAGGACTTCTACTGAATTTTAGACAAACAGAACACCTAATCACCGCCAACTATGCAAATGAAATGGAAGAGTATTTTTGCCATAGAGATCAGTCAATGGCAAGCCTTTGTTAAATCAGTGATTGAAATTAGCAAAGAGACAAAGGTAAGGTAATTTCTTGTTATATTTCTGCGTAAATTATCTTTGTAAAAATGAGCTGTTCCATTTGGAATCAAACAGGACATTACTTGTTTATACTGCAGAGAAGAGGATTCTATTAACTACACCTTCATTTGTGGCAAAGTTACAATATCCCTTCTAGAAAGTGTTTTGTGGTGGTTTAACTCTATAAGGAACAATTTGGACCTGAATCCTTCTCTGAAAGAATCTCTATTTAGATTATGTATAAAATCAACTAATTGAAACTTGGTTATTTATGAGATTTAACAAATATTCCTGTAACCTCCATTAAAAAAAAATTTAACCCTCTCTAATTTTGCCAGCCTAATGATGATAAATGTAAATGGAAGAAAAATTGTTAATCAGGTGATACTTTAGTGCTATTATCATCAAAAAAGTTGTAGTGGTTGCAATACTTGAAGATGTGACACAGTAAATATGTTGTGAAAAAAGTAAAAAAAACAGGAATAAGAAAATTTTAGTGCCTATGTATGTTAATAAACTTAAAGGTATTGTCACTTGAACTAGGGTTTCAATTTTAGTATTATTATTAGATCCCAAAGTAGTATCATAGTTACCTTTTACTCAAAAGCATTGTAAGTATCAACTTTTAGTGCCAGTATTAGCAATGGTACAAATAATGTCATCAGTTTTCCCTATTCCTCTTAAATAAAAAGGTTTGGAAACAAGTTGAAGCCTTTATTGGCTTTCAACTCATTACTTCATGATATAATACACTCATACAAATAGGGTAAAGCAGGATGAAAAGGAATATTTCAATCAGCCATCCAACTGTAGTATGCAATTAGCAAGAGGAGGGCAACAAGTTTTTTCCAACTGAAGGAATAAGTGGCCTGAAGTTTCCAAAGTTGAAAAAGAAATTGGCTAATGAGAGAGTAACTACGATGTAGTCATTAATTAAGCATTTGTGATGTCACAAATGGGAATGGAAATTTGCACTACCTCTTAGTCTTGCCCAGGACTAGGAAAGCTATTAGAGCAGAGAAAGCCAAGCTTAAAATGAAGAGTGTATTACACAGTCTTACCCACTCTAATTCTTAAGTCTACAAGAGATATTCACCATAAATCTTTGGATAAGGAAGGTCTCTAAGTGGGTGCTGGATTTGTAATCTGGTGGTCATGGGGTTAAATCCTCTACCATTCCACTCACTGGATTTGTACTCAATCACCCTAAATTCAACTCCTCGGCTGCACTGTGTACCCCTGGGGGTCTACCCCTGCCAGGTGGGATTTTCAAGCACTCTATGTTTATTTGTTTACAACGTAACATTGACTTTGAAAAGCCCCGTAGGGACAAGCCAATAAAGTATTATGAATGTATGTATCATGTAAATGTTTGGCAGGATGGTGGTGAATGCTTTCAGGCTATTTAATTAATGGATGGAAAAGTGATGGTAAATTTGAGGGCACAATTCTGCATCAATCAGACTGTTTTTTGAAGAGGAGGAGCAGCATCAATTCAAAGATCACACTCCTAGACATTCAAAAAGGTAGTTACTTTGATCTGTGTTTCAGATGTGCTTTTACACTCTCATCATTGGCAGAGAGAGTCTACCTGCTTTCTCCACATATTAAGTCTTAAGTTTAGGTACTACAATGTAAGGAACTGTGTGGTTTGTCCAACTGTAAAGTAGGTTACACCCCATGGACATTGTCTGCTTTAGAAGATCTGAATGTAAAGATGGTTTGGCTATAATTTCACCTAGGGAAAGAGCTGTATATAGAGGCCATCAGGGAATGTGATGCTGAGAATAAAGAGGCATGCCCTGAACTTTCAGAAGGACTTACTTTGGTGCAGTATTTGAGGCTAGTAAAATACAGCTGCAGTAGAGGATCAATCTGAGAACAGCCCTCAAACCATGTCTTATTGACTTTGTCCAGGGTTGTCGATGATGGAGATGACCACAACCATTATGACGACAAAGCAATTGGATTAAAATTTTGAATCTTGAAGAAAAAAGGAACTTCTTCAAAAGTTGTGATGTACCTTAAACAACAAGTTATTGATGTCCAATCAAAAGAGTTTTAAGTTTTAAAAAAGGTTAATACTAGGCTATTGTTGCATACAAATTATGATGATAGTAAAAACAATTAAAGTAAACATACACCCATTGCAAGGATTCAGTTGATCTCTGAAATACTTTCTTTCTTAGTTGCATTGGAAATTCACGGACAAACATGTGTCTACTGATTTTTGGGTTACTTCTTTGAATAATCCTTTAACAAGTAACATTACACAAGTTACCCTGACATAAGATAACTTTGAATTTTGCAGCAAGTATCTGACTGTGTCCATCATTCATCCTCATTTTTCGTTTCATTCTATCAGTCTGCTTTCTGTATCTTTTCCTACACCTTGAATTTCTGTCAGTGAAATAATTATTCAGTGTTATGTAGCGGTTAGCGGTGAGTAAAGCCTCGTTTTTTAACTAGTGAAAGGCCACTACAATGGAACCCTGCAAATTCAAACTCCCAAGGGGGAAAAATGTTTAAGCCAGTGGGGTTAGAGTTGGCCAATAGTGAATTTCTTAAAAAGTGGGGTCAAGGGAAATCGGATCTTGATCAAGTTACTGGGGGGCTTGAGTTAACTAAGTTAGAGTTGGCGGCGTTGTACTGTTTGTAAAAAGAAAAAAATCTATAGACTTGGAGAAATTGCATTGTCCTTGAAATATGCAATGATAGTCGTTGTGCTAATTAAATGTTACATTGCTTTAATTGTTTATTATTTCTCATGAATACCAGAAAGCAGGAAAGCATATACGAAGCAATACTAACAATTATGGTAGAGAGGTCACCTCAAAATACTATGGTAAATAAAGTACCATTACTTGATTCTATGAAGTGCAATTTTCACACAAATTTATTGCTAGAGTTGAGTAGAATTTGAGCCTTAAAGGGGGTCTTAGCTTCTTTCTCTTCTTCTTCGTTATAAAAGGCCTCCTAAAAAACACAGGCCTCGTGTGTAGATCTGCCACTGACTAGTTTTCTTAAAGGTCATGACATTAGGCAATAAATGCCTTGAATAGGATGCCAAGACAAGTTGCATTAACAATTTCCTGTTTGCCAAATGGAGAATTTTTGTAAAAAATCTTTTTCCCATTGAGGCAAACTTTTTTTCCTGAGACTTGTTGCTCGAATATGACTGTTTTGAGTTCATGTATACAAGAACTGCGAGAAAAAGGGTTAGCCTGCAAATGTATGGAGTGGTCAGTGGCATAGAAATGCTGCAGCAACTTGATGCAAAGTGTATTTTGATCTCAGTAATGAGCAGCAGGACACACAAGAACCAGGCTCGCCCTATTGTCACGCCTTTCGAACTGAAACCACCCAGGAATAATTAGCGAATTGCTTTTTTTCATACTGGAGAATTGGTTGGCAAGATTCAAAGTAGGAAATGGCAATGATCACTTCTGCATTTGTTGCGTCTCTGCAGAATAGTTCACATCCACAACTAACACATTTAATACTTTGTGCATTATTTGATAACCTTTTGTTGTGTGCATTCCTTATTGACTAGACAGATTAAATTTCCATTTTTTCTAAAGCAGAATGGATAATTCAGCTTTTCTGGATTCAGCTACCCATATGGAAACTCTGGAACTACTTATCATATCAAGGAATATTTTGTTTTACGCTAAAACTTCCTATGCTTGCAATAAGGCTGTAATTCATTTTCGATGAATGCAATTAATTTTCATTGCATGAATGGGATAACATTACCCTTTTTCTGCCTGCAGCATATTTTTAAGACTTTGTATGCTCTTGTTAATCTCTTTTCAAAGTTATATGATTTAAAGCTTTAATAGTAATAATTTCATGAAATCTACTGCATAACTTATTAGTTGTAACTTCACTGCCTTTCCTCTTGTTATGAGGGTAAAGGATCCGATTACGGTTAAGCCAGGAAGGAAATAAGTATTAATTTTGAAGTGTGGCCCAAAACGTCTCGTTCGGTTACATAAACTGGTCTTTCTTTTTCTTCTGCAACTGTTAAATCTGCTACATTCTTTAAAGTTCATGGATACTTATTCTTGACACTTATAAAATATCCATGACATGTTCAGCTCTCAGTCCTCTACACAAATGTTTTTGAAATACATTATCCGAATATTTCCAAAATATCAAGAATTTAATACTGATTAAATGCTCGACACAGGTATGCATACATACAAAGTAATCTAATGTTTCTTCTACAAAGGTTTGAAGTAAGCTTACTTCTACTCAATCCACGAATTTCGACTTTTTTCCATTTTCCTAAAGAACCAAGTAAAATTTCTGCACAATTCCTGAGCGTGATGAAAGGTTTTTACGCAGTCCCTTTTTAACTAAAAGTGCGGTCTTATTTCAAAAATGTTGAGAATAAGGAATTTTTGTTCGCGAGCCGGGCGATGGATGCGCATGCAACACCAACTATTTTATCACTTTTCAAACTAAAGCAACCTGCTATTTTGCTAGAATGAAAAAATGAAACATTCGAAGATACAAGCTGTGTGTGTAAAATAAACAAAATGACTCTCACCAAAGCGCTCCCTTGATGAACGTGGAATGACCTCCTTGTGGAGAGACCTGTTGAAATAACCTCAGGTGTAGGCTCTGTAGTCGATTCCTACCAATGTGAACCATAATCTCCCCTTTTTATGACGGCACTTTCGAACTTCCAGTCGAATAAAGTTTATCTTGTTCCTCTCAACACTGTTTCCTTGCCCCTTTGGAAGAAAATCAAAATGTTACCCAACTGTCTTCAAGACTATGGCCATCTGCCAAGTAAGGAAACATTATTAGCAACGGCAAAAAGAGTCCTTGCGGGGGTAGACATAGATCTTCCCTTTTTTTTCTCTTTATACCCAGTATGTAAATTGCCAATTTCAAGGGAGGAAACTCTTACACGACTAGAACACCCGAAAAACTGTTACAATCTGGGGATTTAAGCGATAGGACGCGGTGTCCGTGAAATTTGGGAAACGATAAAATGTATCATTTGGCCAAAAATCAACTCACCATGAGTGGGGAGGGAACATTCATGACAGTGTGTCTTGGAAGGCTTCCAAGAAAAATGCTGTGAATACATTTCGGTATGGTTCTTTCTCATATAAGCGCGACATCTCCAAGCTTGAAAATTTAGCAGAGTACATTTAATATTCTAGTGAATCACATCGAGTTTTGCTGTCAAAGCTGCTGTACACCTTTTTTATGTTTTTCGTTTTCAATGAATTTATGATTTCTGTGTTTCAAGTACTGTGAATGACACAATTTTTTGGAACACAGAAAGTGTTCGGATATCTGAAATATTAACAGGAAATGTCGACGTTAATGTTGTGAGATACATCAATAGAAATTAGTTATTTTAAAATACTTTCTTAGGGCGCCGTGCCGTTTGTGCGATGAAGAACCTACCCCTCCCCTGTGGGATCAGCCGTTCATGACGTGAAAGAGAGACCAAAGTTTGAAGGCTGTCGGCTACACCAAGCGTTCTTGGTTTCATCCATAACCATCTTGAAGAAGTCATTTTTTTCAAAACGATTTTCTCTATTGGGAACCATTTTTTGCCTTACCTTTGGGCTAACAAAGGCGTCGTAGTGATCTTGGAAAGAGGAGTCATGAATGTTGCAAATCCTGTAAATCGTAATTAGCAATTTTCGGCATTCTTCAATTGAGCGGAAAACAAGATTCCTCCATCCATAATATAATGATTGATTGTAATGGCGAGAAATCGAACATCGGCGAGTTAAGAGTTAACAAGAAACCGACATGAGTGCTAAGAAGGCGAAGCGTAATAAAGAGGAGTCGTTGTTGATTTCATACAATTCCGCAGAAGATCGCGGTGGTGTTGGGCGAAGCAGTGAATCTGATGACAATGTTCAACCGTTGGATTTACCACCGACTCGACTTCGACGTCCAAGATCCAGGTATTACAGCATATATCATTTAAGTTTGTGTATTAAATATCATATTTAAAAATACAGTGCACAGCTGACCGGACTTCAACGAAGATCGACGGAACTCTTGACAGTTTTTGCAACCTATCGACGCTTACGAATTCAACTTGCCAGATTTTTTTAAAAGAGTTATCAGATTTTATCACATATATATTCTAGTTTAGTTCATGTAAGTAACCCATCATTCAAGGGATTCTTCTCCAATAAAGTATTACGGTAGGTATTGTTTCTGCTACAATTACATGTCGATGGCACATTAATGTAATATTTACAAACGATCGATTGATTTTAAGGCTGACATAAATTTTATTCGTGCGGTAGGTTTTTTTCTTTACAAACTTATCTTTGGTTCATTTTCTTTGTTTTTTTTTTTTCAGTTTAATTTTTACCTTTAAGTTTTGTTTATTTCCTTTGCCTTGCACTTGTTATTAAAATCTGAAACAAAAGGAAAAGAAAAAGAATTGGACCACAACAGATTCACCACAAATACATAGAGTTGTTTCTTATGATTTGAGTGTAGTTTGAGATATCCTTGAAATGTTTTGATGTTGGAAAAGTAGATTCGTCACATATAATTTAGGTCTACCTAAATGATTGCTGTGCATCGGATAGGTTTATTTCATACACACAATACATCCAAAAATGATTGTTTACATTGGCTTATAACGTTCATCTTATATTCATGTAGCATTTATACATCAGCCACCCATACAGGCTATGTGTTATACTTGTGAAGAGGTTAACACCCAGCTTTAAGTTAGCAGTATGATGCAAATATTGTCAGACTTTCCTTCTTTTGAATGTGATAAACACTTTGATGTAATAAACCACCTTCTCAGAGAGAACTTTTAGTTTCTAATAAGACCCCTTTCCTCTTTCCTCTTTCCTCTTTCCTGAAACTGAAAGTTGTATTTTCTTCTGTTTGGGTTTGGTAGGGTTTATAGTACAAATTTTACATGTATTCTGAAGGCTGTAGTTGTGGAGATGAAACACTGCATCTTACTAGCCACCAAAATAATTCATGAGTATTTGATAATTTTTTATTGTATATGTGGCAATTTCTTTTTTATATATGTCTTGATTAGATTTCCACCAAAAACATGCACACTGTTTAATTTGTATATTTATCTGGGCATTCAAGTGGGAGAAAAGCAGTAATAAATAGTAAGCATGAGAGTGTACTTCCTATCTGTAAACCCTTTAACCTCTGTGACTAGCATTTAATTTCTCCTTACAATATCACCCCTGAATCATGCAGTAAGGTCTTGAGAATAAAGAAAATTATCAGCAGCAAAAGAAGCTGTTGATTGTTGCAGAATTCTCCATGTCAGCACCTTTGGGAATCTATAAGGAACAGTATGAAGAATACCTTTACTGATTTAAGGGTGTGAAGGTTTGATTTATCTTGGACCCCCTGAGTCAGTGGTATATTCTATTCCAAATCATTGTTACAGTGGTATATTACGCATCTGTAAATGGCAGAGACAGTCCTAAGAGTGATCATGGGTAGTATAAGGAATTTATTTCCCCCATGGAAGTGTTAAGAACAGTGCACTCTGAAAATTTATTGTTTTAATGTTTTTTGTCTAACTCTTGACAGTCACTACTAACAGTAACTACTTGAACCAGAATCATTGAGGCATTATATTTGATTATCAAGCTGCCACTGTAGCCCTTTCTCAGTTTACAGTTAATTTAAGATGAATTATTCTGGATGTTAAATTGCTCTTTCTATTATTATGTTCTAGGAAAATTCATGTTCCTTCGCAATCAAAAACTTGCTATTCACCATGGAATGCTCTGCAGGTGATCTTTGTTCTGTTCACTGTTGGAACAATGATCTCCATGATGTGGTTCACAATAATACTGAAGACATCACTAGAGTCAATGAAAAAAAGGATCACTTCATGTAAGTTGGCACCCTTGCCTTGTAGTTTACCAGTCATAATAATATTTGCTATAAAACTCTGAAGTAACCCTTTCACTCCCAAGTTCTCATCAGTAATTCTCCTTACTGTCTGCCAAACAATGCATATGATATTAGTTAAGAGAATCTGGAATTGGATCAACCATTAATCCCCTATTTGAAATTTTCTTTATTCCTGTCACGTTTGATGATGTACTGTTGGTGTAAGAAGAAATTCTGTTTAGGTCACTGGGGCAGTTTAAGGGTTAAGAAATAAATATCAGTTTAGCTTTACCCTGATACTGAAAAAGCCTTGCAAAGTAGAAATATTCATTGAATGTTGATGTGTTTCAAAAAAAGTCACTCAGGTGAACATAGAAAAGAGAACAGCCAATATGTTCCAATCTCCATTGTGTTTTGGTCAGTGCACAACTGACCTGTCAGAATTGGATGAAAGCATTCACTGTTTTAGTTTTAACTCATCCCAGCTTCTATAGCATTGAGGATTTAAGAGTATTGCCACTTCCCCTGGATTAGATGATAATATTACAGGCTACCCTGTGGCATTTTGTTAGGTTTCCTGATGAGTTATTGGTTCACATTCATGTCCCTTTTTCAGCAAATCATATGAATTTCTTAGATTTCCTTGACCAGAGCCTTCAGGCACTTGGTAATTTTTCTTAAAGATCAGCTCCTGAATGGAGTAAGGCACTAAGTTAAGAGTCTTTCCTAAGAGCTCAACACACTGATGCTAGCTAGAACTTTAACCCTTTAACACCCAAGATCTCATTAGTAATTCTTCTTATTGTCTGCCATACAATTCCTGTGATGCTAGTTCTGAGAATTTGGTACTGGATCAACTAGAAAATCCTCAAACTTACATTTTTCTATATTCTCATCACCTGTCTGATTGATATTGTATTGATATTGTAAGGAGAAATTCTGTCTTGGTCACTTATGGGAATTTAAGGGTTAACAGATACCATCCCCCAAATGCCTTTGTTATCTTCTTTTTCTTTTTCTCTTTTTTTCTGGACTGGGGCCAGCTATTTAAGTTGATGACATCACACAACTTCTTAAATTTTGCCTCAATCTTTTCTATTGAAGCTGACCTACAATTTGATGGTAATTCCACACAGAAATAACTCTCTCACATGCTTGTGCTATTAACACTGACAACATTATTGAGAACACCACAGGGCTCATTATCTAAGTTCTAATGCGTCACTTGACAAACATTCCTATTTATTGGTGTGCATTAATTATTTGAGCATTATTCAATCAGTTCATCACCAGAATAGATCATGTACATATTTATCATAGAAATGTGGAAGAAAGTGATCATGTGTCTTAAAATGTGAAAATGACCTTCATTACTGTGTTGGGTGCATGTACTAGAAGAAAACATTTTATACACTTTAAGCAGAGTAGAGAGAAGAAACAGTATCCTTGTGCCTGTATTTTCCTTGTTACAAAAAAAAAGCCATTGGAGCTTCCATTTTTAAAGGCTTTTTACTCACATTATTGGGAAAAATTATTTTGAAGAAATTATATTATTAGTATCATGAATAGCACAAGATACAAATATTGATGCATGGGTAGGCAGAAGAAAAAAGAGGGACAAAAAACACATAATAATAGATGGAACTATTTTGGAAACAGAACCTTACTTACTCTTTTATGACTTGGTACTTTTTCTAATGCTAAGCCTGATTTATGGTGATGTTAGATTTGTTGCATGCAGTTTAGGTGCATTTTTGGTGCATAAATATTGTGCACTTCTCTGAAAAATGTGTGGCAGCCATTTTAAGATGGATTTTAAAGTAGACACATGACTGGAAGGAGGGGAAACAACTATCAAGGGAGAGGGTTGTATTAACCCTTTAACTCCCAAGATCTGATTGTCAATTCTCCCCTCAAGCTGCAGTGCATTTCCTTGTAAATAAGTTATGAGAATTTGGTGTTAGATCAAAATAACAACTTCTACCTGATACATGTGGATATTCTCATCAATTGTTTGCTGGATAATGCATGGATATTGTAGGGAGAAGTTACTTGTTAATCACTTCTGGGAGTTAAAGGGTTAAGCATGGTAGAGTTTTACTAGTTTATCACCAACCTACCTTCCCTCCTGAGGTGTCATCCATTTTGTTAGATTGCAATTATGTTACTGGAATTGTCAGTGTTGGTGTGCAACTGAAAATAGTAGTTTTAGTCCATTTCTTGTTGATTTTATGGCCTGAAATTCGTTTCTTGATTTCATAGCCACAATTTGTCAGGGAAATTGAGGGATGCAGACATGAATAGCAAATAAGGAGATGTCAGATGTCCAAACAATATTTCTTTTGTTTTCACAGAAGTGAAAGGAAGTTTAAGTCTTAACTGTTTATTTAGACAGCAAAGGAACAGACTAAGAAAGCAAATCTACGCCTAAGATACTTATCCTTAATCTGATAGAGTAGAAACATTCCTATGGATTTAAAATTCCCAAAGTATCTTCTTAATTTTCAAAGACGACAACAAAAAAACTATTAAGTGATTCCTTCCCAGTCCCCTCTCTCTTTAATTCATTTGTGTTATGTGTCATTACACATTGAGCATGATTTCATTCGGGAGGTCGATAGACGCACCAAGTAATTAATATTTTTCTCGTTCCTTCCCCTCTTTCTTATTTTATAAAAAAATGGAACTTGTCTTAGTTTGGAATGAGTGAGCGTAAAACGAAAATGAAGCTTTCATCTAGAAGAAATGGCACACTTGTGCCGGACGATGATGATTCGGACTCTGACCTCCAAGAATTCCCTCTTCCCAAGAAGAGGATTATCAAGCCAGGAAAGTCCACGTATGTTGCAAGGTTAGATCCTCCCTCGGCTCTTTTTTATCAGGATGAGAAACCAGTGCGTTCCTCTACAATGCATTATATTTTTTTTTCCTTGGCTGTTCTGATTCATTTTCGAACGTTTCAGACGGCGCTGTGGCTGCTGCCGAGTTTGTGCTTCAGTGTTCCTCTCGATACTTCTCATAGCTTCCGTTCTTTGTGTATTAGTTCTGGGATGGTTTAGTTTAAGGCTCAAGCGTGATTTAGACTTCATGAGGAAAAGATTAAGCAAAGGTAAGTTCGAGCTGTGGGTGATTCATTTATTATTTTTGCAGTTAATCAGAAGCAGAGTGCATATTTTTAAAATACTATGCAGACACAGTGTGAGTTTCACTAACTGATTGAATTTTAATACTTTTGTAAGAAAATTTGATTATAAGTATTTTTTTCGACTGCGTTATGCCTCCCAAAAAATGAATTAAATAGCGTGCAGACTCAGTGCTGCTGAATCTATCTGTTGTGATTAACATTCTAAAGCGGAAATAACCATTCATGCGCAAATGCTGTTGCATGTACACAAACTTATTCTACACAATATGCGAATTCTACGCCAATGTTTTACTTTCTGACGCATTTCAAAATTATCGAAAAATTAGCTTTTAAATGTAGTGTTTGCCCGGCACTCCTTCATTAGTAGTTTCCATTTTATTTGGTTTCAAGATTTGTATCAGAAGCAAACGCTACGCGCTTGTTGATTCGTTCAAAACATTTCACGAGTTTGCGATGTGACGTTGCGGTCGTACTGTGGATCATTTTGTTTCATCGAACGTTCTTTGTGAAGGGTCGCTCATCAATAATTTACTTTGTGAAGATGAAAAACATAATCTAATAAAATCACTGGCGAGCTTTTCTCTTATTGGTATATTTAAAAAAGCTTTCGTATATTTTTGTAATATCAACGATTTGTTCAGTCTCGAGAATCATTATGCTGTGTCGAGAGTGGTTCTTGTAGCTTTGATTTGTAATGATTAGCTCACTCTTTCAGGAGGTAGTGATTATTTGTAACAATACTTCGAGCGCGCTTGTTAAAAGTAATTTTGTTCTAAGTCTCGAATGGAGTGGTAAGCTGAAGACAAAATCGAATTCGAGGTACAAATTTGCTAAAAGAAAGAAAGCGACTTACATCAAGATATGCATCAATCAGATATATTCATTGTGGACATGGAAATATCCAAACTTGTCCAAGAATTTTAATAGTCTGTGTTGATTTATTCGTTCTTGAACTATAATAAAAATCCTATTTTACATTAGTTATCCAGTGATGAAGCTGACTCAATGCCGGGTAGTCTCCTGGACCTTAACATCTTAGGTGCGAGGAACAGAAACTCGTTTCAGCCCTGATAAAAATAAAATTTCCTGACTAGCTACTGTATTTATGCGACTTTTTCAGTAATTTTGTCTCCACGTCACGATTCTTTTTGAAATACAGCCTTTAAGATCTTTTAATGTTTTATGTACTTATCATTGTACATTAGTGGTTAGAAAGTATGGTCAGCAATATTTTTAATGCTCTCGTCTTATTCCGATATTGTTTACCCGATATGTCACACGGTGGCGAATTCTTTTCGACTAAAATTATCTTGAATTTAATTTTGGTGACATTGTTTTCTGTGCGAATCTGGGAGCAGGTTTGAATTATCATTCTCGAGAGGGAAGTCGTTCCCATATTCATTAATTAAGCGTTTACCTTTGGTGTTGGTCGCTGAATCTCAGCCATATCGTTCATTGATTCGTTTGTTACCGGAAATACCTTAATAATTCACAAGTATTTGGTCATGTCAGTTTTGATCTCAATGGATATTGCTGTACATGTATCATTTAACAGTTATACATAATTAATGATGGTTTTCTTTTCAAAGAGAACCTCCCAGATACTGGGAATTTTTACACTTACGACTTCCAAACTGAAGGTTCTGTATTGTTAACTGTATTGTGTGTAAATAATTGCTTTAGAAAACAATTTAAAATAATGGATTGGAGTATTTTTGAAGGTACTGCTGGTAGTTTTATGGGTTGATGCTACCTGCTGCCAGTAATCCTTTTGTACAAGCACCAAAAGTAAATGAGAAAGTGCAATTTTTGTTCATTTGCCTTGAAACAGGTGCTAAATTTTAAGTGGAATTACTTCTTGTATGGCTGCTGTACAAAGAACAAATAATTATTTTATATTGGTCGTCAAACACTTTTGTATATTTTGTAGTCTTGGATGTCAATCTAGTTTGAGCAACTTTTAATTTAGTTTTTTTTTTAATTTAGTTACCTTGAATTTAAATTTTAAGAATTTGTGGCCAAGGAATAAAGAAAAATTCAAACTGTTGTAGGGTACTTCTTATAAAGAATTTTTAGTGCTTTTGGATAGGGCTGTGCTCCAGCTGACAAGAGTTAATTGTTCATGGGTAAGATGGTTAGTTTTCCCCATCAGGTATTCTGAACATTTTAGCCAGTCCTTTGTCTGTGTAGGGCTCCAAGGTCAAGTTTCCCTTTGGCAATCTAAAATCATCAATTGGTCTCGGAAATAAAATTTTGGATGCCAGAAAAATGCCGAAAAGGAGATTTTAATCACAATCTTTCACAATTAACACAATCTTTTGTGCAAACATCTATCTCACTCTACTGGATACAAAACAAAAGAATGTACCATAAACAGTAAGTCAGTACATGATGCTACATTGCATGACTGCTAAGCATTGGTCACCTAATTGGCAAATTGTGTTGAAAAATTAGTTGCTAAAACTTTCTTACTTGCTATAGTGACTGTAATGGTCACAGCTTATAGTATTGTCTTTCCTGTAGTTTGGACAAGGTCTCTCTGAGTAGGTATATGGACTTTTCTGGCATGCCAATTTTTGTTCTTGTTGGATGAGTTACTTTACCTACATAGTGCCTCAAACCACCCAATGATTCTTATTAAATCCTTGAACTTCCAAGGTCTGATTGTTAATTCTCCTCTCTTGCTTCTACTCATTCCCTTGTAAATTGGTTACGAGAATTTGGTGATAGATCCAAGATAACAACTTCAACTGGTCTAACTTTGAGTGTTATCATTACCTGTTGGCTCATAATGTTGGATGTTGAAGGGAGAAGTTATATGTTCATTGCCTCTTGGAGTTAAAGGGTCAGAAGAAATCAAGTCAAAAGGTTGCTTTTGTATTGCTACTGTTACTAGTACGTACTGTTACTAGCTCTAAATCACAAGAAACAAAAAGGGATTCCAACCTAAATCAATAATCTTGCCAATCAGGGCTTAGGACTAAAGCACAGAAAGGTGATATGGTATTCGGTTGGAGTTTGTGGCTTGTTTCCAGTTACCACTTTGTGCTGTGTAAGTGACCCTGCTAATAACAAAAGTTGCACAGCAGTAATGGTGCTTAGGAATTAAAGTCTTCTTGGTACAACTTTGAAAAATTCATTCATACTTATTTTCACTTGATTTTAAAATTTACCATATATTGGGAAGTGCATTTACTAATTATAAGTTATAGTAGTTGCAGAATGGATTTCATAAAAATCGATTTGATGTGCTCTTTAACCTTTCAACCCCCAAGAGTGACTAGCATCTAATTTCTCCTTAGAGTATCATCACTGAATCAATCATTAAGATCTTGAAGATAATGGAAATGATCAACAAGTACAGAAACCCTTGATTGTTAAGCAAAATCTCCTTGTCTGCACCTCAGGAAACTAATAGATTAAATTAAACATATTGTTCTTAAGGTGTAAAGGGTTGAATTTTTTATGTGGGTGTTAATAATTGTATTAGCTGTAGTATGTGGAGTCATTATGAATTAATGCAGTTATGTATTCAATGTTTTTCTATCAGTGGAATCATTTGATAGAAGCACTTCAAGGGAATATGAGAGCTTGAATAATGAGCTCACTAACAAGTACAAGGCCTTAGAAACTGACAGAGAAAAAGCCGTAAAACATGATGATGAACAATTTAAATCAATTCTTAAGCAGGTAAGAACTACACAATTAGACCACATGCCATCTTACAAAACAAGGTGAATTAATCAGAATAATGAGAATGATTATGTAATGAATTCAAAGACAAAGCATCAATGATGCCTTGCAGAACAGAAAAATTGATGTAGATTTTTAGATGTAATAATTAGCCATGACATTTGTTCACATCTCTCAAAAAAGCTTGCTTACTTTGTTATTGAGCCTTTTTCTTTTTTTATTTTATATTTTAGTCAGTGTATCATTGTATCATTGTGTTACTATCAGTAAACATTGTCTTCATTACTAGTGATTGGACCATACTTACAGCATTCAATAACTGTTTGATTTGTGTAACCAAAGTGAAATTTTTTTTCTATTTTTCAGATTGCATATTTAAACTTAACAGTGGATGAATTAAAAAAGAAGGTTAAGCTACCAGAAAGTGCAAGCACGTTGACAAAAGATATTGATTCACTGAAGAAAGGAATGGCTGACACAGGAGGCGATATAACAGAGATTAAGGACAAAATTAAACTGCTACGAGATTTAGCTGATAAACAGGAGCATAGAATGGAAAAGTTAATCAAAAATGTCTATAATCTTTCCGTAAGTATTATCCATTTCATCATTATTAAACAGAATGATTCTCTTTTTTTTGTGTGCAATTGGCAAACAGTTGATATTTTAAATATGACTGCATTTTCATAAGTCTACATATCTGTGGCTATTATTTAGGAGAAGTCATTTCATATAACCAGCTCATCCTATTGCCTGGGAGCTCAAAGATCTTTGCTTATCCACGTATTATGTGCTGCTTTAGCAACCCTCAGCACTCAGATAAATGTTTTTTTTTTTACATCACAGTAGATGAGTGTTTTATTTCAAAACTTTCCAAAAGCAGTTTCATCACATCACAATCTTATGTCAATGTGAATTTCTTTTATACAGGTTCAAGTAGCTCAAATAATGGGAAAGCCAACTCCCAAAGCACCAGCAAACACTGGTACCCCACCCCTTATTTTAAGAATGCCAGTGATTTCTGACGAGAAACAACAAGCAGGAGATGAATCAGTGGTGAAGAACTTCACAGCACAAATTTCAGTGGTAACTATGCAGCTAATTGCTTAAAGTTTTATTTAAAAAATTTTGTAATAGTCAGATATGTTCAAAGATGACTTTCACCTCATAGTGAGTACACATTTTTCTGAAATTTAATGCACAGTGTATTCATTATGTTATCATATTAGGGTTTTGATTTTTTTTACATCTTATTTTTGGTTTATGTCATTTCCTGTTGTAGTTAATGTCTTCTTGTGTTAAAAGCAATTTTAAGTAAAGCATTCATAATTTCTATTACATCCTGTAACTATTGTAGTTTGAAATATAAACTTGTCCAATGTGGGGGGTATTTTTATTTTCACTTTTTAGAAAGTTGGCAAGGTTATGGGAATTCTGACAACCGTCAACCAGACATTGTCCTATGAAGTGTCCAAATTAGGACTTTTGATGAAGAGCTTGTTGAAGGAAGTCAAAAAACATGTTGTAAGTGAAGTATGTCCTCTTTCAAGAGGGCTAGGTCACAATATTGTTTTAGGATTTTAAATTCAACTATATTGTTTAATTGTTGAAGAAACAGCTGATAATTACTCCTCACTAATTTAATAACCCAAAACAAATGTGAGTGTACAATTACTTTATGATAGTCATTTGGAAGGCAGTTTTTTTTTATTCTCCAATTACTGTTTTTCTTCTTTCCTGATTTTTCCTCCCTGCTCCCTTGAATTCCTTGTGTCATGAATTTTTCAGCTCTGTGCCAATGATATTGTGATATGGTAGTTTATTGTTTCACTGGCTGTTTAGTGCTGACGTAGATGTAGACTAACACAAAACTTATATATATCTGAACTTAGGTAAAAATTGTTACTATCCAAATAAAGAAATGCTATACAGTAGCTTCATTGTTCAATTTAACATTACCAAAAATATTGCCTTTGAATATAGCTTAAAGTAGGCCACCAGCAATCGATAAAAGGGTTAGAATTGTCAATGTTCTACCAAAATTGATTTTATGGTCAGTTTGTTTTCATGTCAAAGCTGATGCATTTTATCAGCTTTGAAGTTAATGCATGTTAGGTGAAGTTGGTCTATACCTTGCATGTTAAAATTAATTGTATTTACAAATATAGTTGTATGTTTATTCATTAGTTTTCTTTTGTTCTGTATCAGGTAGCTCTTGATGACTTACAAACTAAAGTAACACAGGTTTTGAAACAAAACCAAAGCAGTGTAACCTCAAGAGGTCACCTTCAACCAGACAGTGACATGCTTTCAGAGCATGTCTCCAATTTATCAGTTGAAGTGAAAAAGCTATCAGATTATGTTGACCAACAGTCCAAGAATCTGGCTGAACTGGTATGTTTGTTTCAGCTTCCTTTAATTTTTTTTTTCAAAAATGCTTTATATTTTAAGTATTATTTATTTATTTATCTATTTATCTATTTATTTATTTACCTTTAATACAGGGAGAGAAAGTGATTGACTATTGATCATATAGTATATACATTGCAACCTAAGGGAGGTTAATGGTATCCAAGCTAAAGAATTGTTATTGGTATTAACAAAGTGATATAAAAAATGTCAAGGGTGCCTTCAGAAACAAACAGTAAAGTACAAGGGAGGTCTGTTAGATTATTAAATTAGATGTGTGCAATGGGAAAATTTATTGAAGTTAGCTATGACCTTCAATTTTAATAGAAACTGACTTGAACTATTGCTGTCCTTTTTTTAAAGGTTTCATCGTTTTTTGTTTTTAACAAGCAAAAGTTTCTGTATGAATGATGTTATTTTGTGAAAAATTCTATATCATTAGTCCTTGGAAAAGTACAGAATAATATTTAATATAAGTTGGGCATGAATAAGAACAGTGATCATTGCATTGTGTGGTGTAATAAGAGTGCATGTGGTTAAAAATAACAAAATTGCGAATTCAATCCTTTTATCACCTCATTTGAAATTTTTCTGCACCTACTTTCATTAAAATTTTATGAACATGCACATTTCTTACTTGTTATCTTATATTAATACATGTGTGCAGATGATGTAATTTTACCTTTATCCTTGTTTTGGTTTTTGATAATTAGTTCATTTTTATGCAGCAGATTACAATGATACTCAACTTGTTACTTGTCAGAAGAAACCAGCACTAAAAAGAGTACTATTTTGCGACTGGACTTCTTAAATATTTGTTCATTTGGAAGATAGCTGAATATATACAGTTTGCATTGGATTACTTAACAAGTGCTTCTGTCAGAGACCTTGCATGTGTTACTTATTTCTCCACACAATTCTTTCATCAGATGTTGGAAATGGTACAAATGAACACAACTGTTTCTCATCAACAAAGTCTCGGTACACCCAAGAAATCTACTTATTGCAACTGCTCTGTGGAAGTTGGAAAGATACGGGAACAGTTATCAAGCAACAAATTGAGCATCGAATCACTGCAGCAAGAACTTCAAGCTCTTCAAAGTAACATAGAAAGTTTGCCAAGTAAGGAGTAAGAGATTAAGTGAGGACTGTTAATTGTTTGCATATCCTGACCTTGCTTGATCCCCACCAGTCGTTTTCAAATTCGATTGCATTAGCATTATTGTAAAAAACTAATACTGGTAAGCAGCAGGGAAAACGTTGGACTTAATCATATCATTTCTTTTTCAAGAAATGTCCCGAACATATCCATCGGTAATGACCTTTAGTTATCAATCTAACTGAGACCAGCGTAAAGAAAGGTTTTTGCTCCTTCTTTGCAGAAAATACCTCACAACTCGGCACTACAGAGTCAGACCTTTCTGAGGAAAAGCAGAAAAAGGACAACCAAAGTTTAAGTGCTAGTGTCACAGAAGACATAGAAAAAGAAGATCTTGAGGATGCTGGACTTATGGCTGAATTTATCAAGCCATCGCCTACACCAAGAAGTAATGCCAATAACTCTGTGTCAAAAGTTAATAAGGTTACAGAAAGTGTAACAGAAAATCCACCTAAGAAAAATGAACTTGAAGCTGAAAGTGTAAAACCATCACCTTCACAAAGGGATGGCAGTCACACGGCATCAAAAGCTGATAAACTAAAAGAACTTTCTGTAAATGCGTTACCACCTGGACATGTTAAATCAACACAGAATTCTACACAGCCTTTAAATGTTACCACAGTACCTCAGGTCTCCTCCATCAACGCTACAAAAGACAGTCAAAGTTAGTTCTGATTTGCAAAGGTTATTTTGACCCTTGCTTTTCTGTTTTTCTTTGTTTCTTTTATCGTTAGACCACGTGTCGATCATTTTATGATTTTTTTTATTTGATTTTTGTTAGAATCCACAGACTAATTTATTATTCAGTGAAATTTCTCGTAATTAATTTAATTTTGGTATGTACCATCAGTGTTCATTTTTCAAGAGGAAACGTTTCACAAGTCTTATGTTTCAGTATTCACTCGTTAACGAGTTATCTATAGATGCTATTTACTTATTCTATACGTTAAAGTTGTGCATTTAAATTTTAAACGACGTTTCTGTGAGCAATCAATACTGTAAGGAGAAACGTCTGACAGTTACAAGAATATTGAGTTTTCGCTAGTGAAAGTATGACGCTCAGAGCCGCTGCTGAAAACGAGCACAGGAGCGTGACTATTAAAGTTTCATTACTACTTCAACAGTTAAGTCGATTTTAAAAGCGGTATGCTTTCTTGAAAACTCCGAGCATGTGCGAGAAATAAGGTTTCATGAAAGTAATACCTTTGTGTTGATCTTCAATTTAGATTCATCTTCTGATCACAAGATTCGCGTAAAAGTTGAAAAGTTATCAACACCTAACAAAGAAGAGGCCCTAGAAGACAGCCTGGAGAATCGAGGCTCAGATTAAACTTAAAATTTACTAAAAAGGTGAGGTTTTAAAGGGGTATCAATGATGTTAATTATAAGAACGAAACGCGTAGTTGTACCTCCCTTAATTCAGTTTTTTCTCGCGTACTCATTATTTCATTAGTTTAATCTTTCATTCAGTCCTGCATTTCTTTATTTAGCCATTCGCTGTTGCACTCACTTATTCAATGACATGTTGATAAAGTTAAGTAACTATAGCTATGAATTTGAAACTGTCACCTGTCGCTCTCTAAAATTTAATAAAACAAAGGTTTTTCTTTTTTTTCGGGATTTCTCCCACCCTTCGGTTTTTCTAATGTGTTAGACAGTTAAGCCAACTTTCTTCACTGAAAAGGTAATTTGACAATGCTTATTTGATAGCTTATTTATTCTTGGAGAAATCCTGAGAGGGAAGAACAAATTTTTCGTTTACGTTTTAAGATAGAGATAATAAATGACCAAAGTTTTATTCGTTTATTCGACTCAACAACTCGCTGTCAAACTGAAGTGCTTCTTCCTTATTTGTTTCTTTCAGGCTTTGAATGTTTTTTCTATGGGCGGTATAATGAAGTCAAGTATACCTAATTATAGTTAATATATAAAGAATTATGGTTCAATACAGTTTTGATGTAAAATAGCCAATGCTATTGACATGAAGTGAATTTTGAAAGGTCTTTTATATCAAGAGTTAGAATTTATCAACCAATTTGTCTCGACTGATAAGTAAAGTTAAAAAGATTTGGTATTGATAGGACAGGTGTCCAGCTTTCTTTTTTTGGGAACCTTTTTTGACTTAAGTTGAACTGAAATTGCTTAACCTGTTTCAAGAATATTGTATGTCGTGAGGTTGGGTTCAAAGATTCCCTGGCGTTTCTTCTGTCGTTGACTGAAAATTTAAACAATGTGATTGCAAGTCCAATGATTTGCATCTAATTGATGATTGCCTAGTTGCAATCAAAAAGTAGTTTCTCATTTTCTGCACCAACTTTGCACTGAGACAATTTGAACAAGTGTTGCAAATGAGATAATTCAAGCAACATGATGAGGCTCTCTCAAACTCAAAGTGAAACAGATAAACGATTCTATTTCCAACAAATGAACGATACTATTTCCAATAAACGGTGTTCTTCATGCTTGCCTCGGTTTCAGTCTCTTCTTCAGTTTCCAGTTATACTTGCAATTTCTTCTAACTGCTTCTCCAGTCATGGATGACGCGTGTTTGTCCATACTTCAGAAACTTTCTGTCTGTCGTACATTTTTCAGCTTGTTTCATGAGTTGTTGTAGTCCATCCCTTTCCAATTTTCTTCCTGGTCTCCTCTTGTCCTGTTTTTTGAAAGAGTTTTTTTTAATTTCTCTGATCTTATCCTCTTTGGTTCCTCACCTGAGTCCTTTAACTTTATTAGTTCTTTGTTACTGACTTCTTTGTTCTGTGCTTTGCCCAAGAATCCCTAATTTCAAATCCAACGCTAACTCCTAGCTCGAGAATTTGCAGAAACAGATTGATTTTGTTTGGTAGGAGCATTGGTGAATTACCACTTCGACATTCGAAGGGCCCTTATTTCTTGACTATTGGGAGGTGTGACTGTCTTCAAGGGTCGTCGTTAAAATATTGGAACTTGCGCATGGGTTTTATGCTGTTGCGAATTTTCTTCAGACTCCCGCGTTTGTTCGAGTCCTCCCTGTTCCAATTTTTGTTTGAAGTCTCTGGTAACGCAGCACAGAGTCGTAACAATAATGTACATTTGGGTGAGTTGCTTCACGAGTGGTCCGATCGGGAATCGATCTCGATGTCAGTCCAAACCCTCTAGGTTGAAAAACAGCTCTGATTTGATGACATAGGAAAAGTACATTACCTTCGAAGAATCATCGCAACAGCTACTTTCATCTCAGCCATTGCAAAATTAATTCCATTAAGACAAATGCGCGTTTACCCGTGCCCACCCCCCCCCCCCTGCAAACTCGCAGGTCCCTCACTTTTGCCTTCGAAAATGCGTTGAGATTAGCGCGGTTTTCGAAAACGGCTCATTTAGAAGCTCTGATACTTGCTTATTTAAAGCCGCATGTATACCTTACTTCGTTTTACCACAGTTATACAAAAGGCCGTACGAGTAAAGAAATTATTAGACGTTGCAGTTACTGACATTTCCAAGTATTGTTGTATTCAAAGGGAACGAGAAAATAGTTTGTTATTTAATTACAATAATAAATACAGTTAAACATAAATATGTAACAAATTTTGTAACAAAAAAAGCACAAAATCGAGTATGAAAATCATTAAATACATCACTTCTAGTGTGGCTAATCAGAACTCTGTTATTTTCAGTGACTTGTGTTCAAAAACGGCATCTTCGTTAATTAACAAAACAATCCTCACCAAGGTTTTCGTTGTTCATCAAAAGTTATTTGTATTAAGTAGCAAATCTCGAGGCGGTAGTACCTCTTATTATCCTATTATTATCCTATTAGACGAGAAAAAGTTTTGAATAGGGCCGTGATTAATGTCAAACGAGTGATTCACCTCGCGACCAATCCCGCCAAAAACAATTGAAAATCAACATGCGACCAATCGAAGCTTTACTAGACTGTTCAAGGGCGTAACTGAGGGGAAGGAGGGTCTGAGGTGCCCGTGAACCCCCCCCCCCCCTTTTTAAGCCATTTCAAAGAAAATAACCTACAACCTGAAGGCGAAAACTGGTAAATACCCTCTGTTTGACACAGTGTGACACCACCCCCCCTTTTTTTTCTAAAATCCTGGCCACGCCCCCACTGTTCCAGGCGTACATGGAGCGCGATGGTGGCTCAAGGCGAAAAACGAGATGGATTGATTCGCCTTTACGTTCAAAATCTCTCTCTTGTGTCGCACCCCATTAATTAAGTGAGAGCCTGGAGTAAACTGACTGTGCGATATTAGCTAGACATCTACAAAATTAACTGCGTCGTGCTGTTCACAGTAGCAGAATCCCCTTGTTATGTGTAAATACGTTGAGTTAAATTCAGACGAATTCCATTCTTTGTGCGCAGCATAAGCTCTGGGAAAAGGTCTTTGGATGTAACCAGGTTTTCTTCGTTTATGGACAGATGAAACCTGCCACAAAAAGTTACGTGCATGAGTAAAGGGAAGAGGGGTGATTCATAGGAATAAATAGCAGGAATTATGATAGATGTTTTGAGCGACCCTTGAGCGATTCGATCATTTTAGCTTCGTAGAGAGCTCTCAGCCAATCATAATCCACGTTGAAACTCCTGATCGATATGTTAGCAAACCAACCAGAACTTGTACGGTAGGTGTGGAAACCAAATCGGGCAGAAAAGCGCTCTAAACTTTGCTACACGCGCTCTGAATTGATGACGTAGGGAAAGTACATTACCTTCGAAGAATCATCGCGACGGCTACTTTCATCTCAGCCATTGCAAAATTCATTCCAATGCAGTTCCTGTTGAGATTAAATATACGAACCTTGTGAAACCTTATATGATAGATGTTAAACGTGCTGGTATCATTATAGATGGACAATTAGAGCTATCAAAAGCTATGTTTTGTCATAAAACTAAAACTTGGGAATTACTCGAAAGGCAAACGCGAAATGAGTAGCGTGAAACGTGAACGGGGCGAGGCATTACGTATGCGCGAATTCTGATGCATGTCGAGGGTGTGCTGTGAAGCCCCAATACAAATGCAAATCATATCAGGCCTACCTTGGTCCAGCAGAAAATGGTATGTACGCATACGGTGATCGCTCCTCTTTGTTTTCAACAGTGAATCGCAGTGGATCAAATGACTGTGGGAAAAATCGACTAAGTATTACTGAAATGAATCTGTTGAATCGTTTGAGGGTCTACTTAACAGCAACCCTAAACAAACTGCAAAAATGCAACACTGTAAAACTGGTGTATGAAACACCGTCTCAATTACGCTTCAAAAATTGTAGCGCAACATCTTTGGCAGAATCTGTCGTACAAGGCTTAGCTCTGATCAGTAACAAAAACAATATGTTTAAGAACAACTTTCCCTTTACTTCGCAGACTTTAGCCAAATCACCTTTTCTTTTCCAAAGAAAAGTTCACAATTATTTAAACTGCTAATATCCTGTAAAAATTCCCTTAAAGAAAAGAAAGCTAGAGTCAAAACTCCGAAGAAGATATGTATTAAACTTGTTAAATGAACCATAACATTTAGCTGAAACAAAAACTCCGAAACTTCTTAAAATTCAAAACAAAGGGATAACAAATTTGCGCGAAGGAAAGCTCTAAAACAACTAACTAAACTCCGTCAAAACAAACAACAAAAGTACGCGAAAAATGTCTACGTCAGTTTTCCAATGTCAAGGCGAAATTATCTCACGTCCGATAAGACCTCAAGCCACGTCGCCATATGGAAAGGCAAAGGACTAAGTCGTCATTGGTTTCAGCTTTGCGTCTGATTGGATGGGTGATGTTCTAATCTGGGCCAGTCAGAGCAGTGCAAAGTGAACACAATGCAATCTGGACTACAATCAGTTGAACTAACTGGAATTTACAATTTGTTAGGTACCTCCGGATCTTCCCACACATGTGGGTTGTGATGTAAAGCATATGCGTTGATCATAATCCAAGTTCCTAAAAATGAATAGCAAAATATAAATTTTGACAACAAAGACCTATATAAAGAGGAAAGACGGGTTCTTTAGGAGAACTGACTAATAAAAACTGTTATTGTAAGCTTTTACATCTGCTGATACACAGCCACAAACTGTCACCTTACCCGAGAGAGACATGATTACGTGGAAAGATAGGTTCTTTAGAAGAATGATTAGCGGCAACTGTAACTTTTAAGCGTACACATCTTCTGATACACTACCTGAAAAATCCCCTGACCAGAGAGAGACTTTTAGGTGTTCAATTTAAACCATCCTACCCAGCCAAAACTAAAAGAGGTGAAGCTACATCCCTACCTTGTGGTACTAGTTTTCCAGCGATCTCATATGACTTGTCCAAGGTGCGACTGAACATTGGGAAGGGTGGATACAGCCTCATGCTCTCCTTGATAACAAGGGTTACGTATTTGAGCTGAGATAGGTCATCCCTGATGAAGCAAATTGACACTAGTATAGCCTTAGAGCTTTCTATCAATCTTATTTCATTCCCTGAATACCGTGTGGTGAGTTTGAACATTTTACTTTTGGAATTCCATAATCTTTACCCTAGGTGTCTATCAGTTGGTTCAAGCGACCTGTTAATGCCAACTACTCTGGGGCAACTTGCGGTGAATCTTGGATGGTGAAGGGGCCAGCAACACCTAAGACGCTTCAGGTTACGAAAATAGAGAAAGGTTCTAGATTTGTGAACCACCTGGCTCAAAAACAGACGTCACATGTCTAGGTGCTATTGACCAAGTGTGTGATGAAGATGGCTGGCAATTGGCTAGGATTCCTTTTGGGTCTTCATGAACCGAGTTTAAGTCGTTTAAGGTATAGGAAAACACAGATGACATGTATTGATATTTTCTAATGGGCAACCATTTTCACTAAAGCCTCTCTAAGCCAATCTCAAGTAAGCACGATGGGTTGATATTTCCCGTTTAAGTAGCCAATCGAAGCACGGGGCTCGCCAAGTAAAGTCAGGCATACATCAGACAGTCATACTGAAAGCGAGAATGATTCATGTGCAATTGAGTATCTCACCATTCAAGTTCGTTTTTGTCACCGTAAACTTCTTTGACTTCATCCTGGCATTTTCTTTGCCACTCAGGGTATAAGGTAAGGTTGTACAGTGTCCAGGAAATTGCTTTGTGGTAAAAAAGAAAGGAAAAGTCAGCGCTGACATCAAATATCTGTGAACCAAAAGTCTTAACCACTGTATTCTTTTAAGCTTCGACCATCTGAGCCTTTATTGATTACGTAAATAGCCATTGTCTTGGACGAACACTGAACCAAGAGTGGGTATTTGGCAAGTGTTTCCATATATTAGCTACGCAAATTAAGGTCTTGACGGTGTCGTCTAACTAATCACTGCTAAGACCCTTACTTCCTATTATTGTAGTATTTTTTGCCCCCAGTTTTCATACTTGGCCTACACAATCCGTATTTCCTTTACAGACCTGGTTTCTAATCTAGTTTTGCGATATGATCAAGCTTCGCATTGGTGTCAACGTCACCAGCAAGTTTAGCACGAATGACAAAATTCGGTCACTTAAAAACCACGCACGATTAAAGACCATAACGGCCCAAGTCTACACTCGCTTTCTAGCAGGAAAGGCTCAAACACATACCGTTTGGGGTGGCACGTTTTTATACAATCTAAGCTGTGAAGTACTCTACCCCATATGCAGGATGATATCTTGTGGATCAGCCTGAAACCCTATCTTATAACTGATAAAAACAGCTCTTGTTACCAGCAGCCACTGTATCTTGACCTGCCGCGAAAAATGTCACCACCTCCGCTCGTATCGCTTCATCGGATAAGCTTTTTCCGTCTTCATCCTATGAAAAAACCAGAGAGAGTATTTAATCAACCTACTTCTTGAGCTCCTTGATAACTTAATCAGAAATAATAAGAAAAAAGGTAATCAAGAAGACGGTTTAAGTGCATTTGATTACCTTCGCTGCAAGCACAATGTCAACCATATCCAGATGCTTCTTTCCACTGAAGCTCTCTTCCTGCAAGTGCTTAAGTTTATGCAAAAAGATTTATTCACAAGACAACATCGTTAAAATATTTAAGAGATTTAAAAGCTTGGTGAATGTTTTAATCTTTACTTGCTGACTTTAGTGACAAATGATGCATCTGCAATTAATGGACATGAACTTAATGGTTCTGTTTGAAGAAGAAGCAATGTGTAACTTGCGATAGAAAACAACAGAAAGCATAATCATGTACAAAATCACTGTTTTACAGTTCTGTAAAGCAAAACAGACGAGATCTCCTACTCTATCGTTCTTAGACGTTGATCTCTGGGATTCATCAGGGTTCAAAGAAAGTAAATATATATATATTTTTTATTTTTCATACATTTTCCTGAAGAGCCTTCCTTCTGTTTCGTATTATTTCCTCAGCCTTACGATGAGCTGCAGTACAGTTACGGTAAAACCTTCTTCCATCTTTTGTCCACCTGAAAATCCAGTCTGGGTGTAGCATGGGTGTACTAAAAACAGATGACAGATATGAGAGGAAGTCGCTGTGTCTGTGAGATGATTGGGGGGAGGGGGAAGGGGGGGTGCTGGTTTAATCTGTTACTGAAATTAAGGTTATAGGGCCGGTTATTATCTTGAAGTCTAACCCAAACCTTGGCTTTACGTAATCAGTTGGCCTCAGGCTTTCTCTACAAGAGGGTCGATTTAATTAAATAAATATCCTTCCACTGTTGACTTTCAGCCCACTCGATCGCTGTTCACAAAAATAAATGTTTAGATGAAAAATCCAGCTAAATTGAGGATTTTGTTGGGGACGCAGTTTTGTTAAACAGCGGCTAAACTATATTAAAATAACCGGCCATAAAGTTTAATACTCACATTAGCCTTTTGATGAGGGCTTTGGAAATTTCAGTGACACTTCTTGTAAATGTATCTTGTGTCCTGTTCAGAAAGAACAAATTGATCCATAAAAGTTGACATCCTTTGCCATTAAAAGTAGGTTATGATATGTTGATTTTAAGTGAACGATGTGAAGCAACATTTAATTCACAGATATCCCCAATTTGCATATTAAATGAATAGCTCAAGGCTACAACCAGCTAATGCATGACTTAAAAACCAACAAAGCTTGGTATTCAATTATTATAGATGCTTAATTCTTCACAACAAAATACAGTCAAATCTGTATTAAGCAGCATCATGTTAAGCGGTCACCCGGTATAAAATCGTCGGTTTTCAAAGTCCCGAAATTTTGTCATAATACCCTTTATACTATAAACTACAGTGTTATATAAGGATTTCCAGCCCCGAGAAAAGCCGTAACAATACACTTGTAAAAATACGATATTTTTCACGTGTGTTTGATATCACCAATCAGCTGCACGTCACTTGCCTTTCGCGCCAAGGTGAAGAATGAACGGCAAAGCATTCACCATTCTCAATCTAAGGTAGTTTGTTGGATTTTTTTCGGATTACGGCTGCTAAAGCACTGAAAAATTCGTATTGCTTAAAGACAGTGACGTTCAAACTTAACAAGAAGGAGAAGAAAACCAATATACGAAACGAAAAACCGAATGTTATTCAGTGCAGGCTTTGGTAATGGCATTTCTCGCGGCTGAGAACGAAAATCTACAACTGGATGGAAGATTTGCTGGAGGCCGTTTACCTGAGAAACTTCTTCTGTCGGTTTCATAATTGTAAATTGAAAATTACACTCATTGTTGTTTTTGTAATCATAATTCGACGCATTTTTCCATCTTGAGCCTTAGCACCAACCCACTGTGCGATTTTTATTCGGGAATTGTCGATTCCTTTATTTTCATTGATTGATAAAGTTGGCTTTTCTCGTTAATAAAGAGCTGTTGTGTTTATATGATAAAAAAACAATACACAGTTGATTGTAGATATGGAATTTCCCTTCACTTGTTCAACTCGACATCTCGTTCGTACGCTGTGGTCACTCGTGAGCTATCGAGTCAATCACTCGAAGAAATTCCACACTTGCTTACTTTCCCATGTATTATTCTCTATTTATCTGTAGAACCTGTGTTAAACCCTTAAACCCTTTAGGAGTGATTTGCATCTAATTTCTCCTTACAATATCACTCTTGAATCAAACATTAAGGTCATGAAAAAAGAGGAAATGATCACCAACTAAAGCAGCTCTTGATTATAAACAAATTCTCTTATGTCAGCAAATTAGGAAATGTATAATGAATAGTATGGAGAATATGCATACTGATGTTAGGGTGTAAAGGGTTAGGTAGTCAACCTGTTTCAGGCAGTCACCCAGCCATTCCCTGTGGGTGCAGAGTGCTTAAGTCAAATTCAGACTGTATGTGGACTGATTAGAATACTTACACATTTGTTTGACAGTTACTATGAAAACTAAAGGTGCACTTCAGGGTAGAATCAAGAGCCATTAAGCCTATGTCACGAAAGCATTCCATTTTGAGTGGATTCTGAGACCATTTATCCTGTAATTTAAATTGTACATTAAATATCAGGTTTAAGTGATATACTCTTACTTTCATATTAAAGATCATGGTGTATTAAGGATTTGGCTGGGCATGAAATATAAGAAGGATTTCCTGAACTTGAATAGTTGACTTTGTTAGGCAAAAAATAAAATTCAAAATAAATTAAAGTTTGTATTTGTCAAAGATTCAAGAGACCCTCAACTTCAAAACATGAAGTCAAGTACAGAAGGTGTTAATGAAACAATTTATTGGCGCATTAAGTAGTAAGAGCTAAAATTTTAGTTTCCAGCTTAAATAAAAAGCTGTGCTTAGTTATTTTGGAGCTTCTATAAATTTTTTTTCAAGGGTTTGTTTGATTAGTGTAATGGTAGCCCATCATCATCAGGCTGAGTGCACCTTGCTGTAAACATTTAATTGTCCCAGAAACTACTCACCAATAAGGTTTTGGTGGACTCTTGGAATATTTTTGTGTATTGCTTCAAGATTTCTGCATGAAAAGCTGGAGTCAAAAGCTTCCTCATTTGCTGCCATTGTTTTCCATTCACGATGGTGAGACTGTTTCCTATTAGCAGAAATTATTTGAAGTTGTCTCATTTAATAAATTTCAAGTCAGAGAATGATGTGTTCATATTTTACATTTGACCAGCCCTTAATTTTACACAGAAACTGTCTCCAGTGCCCAAATTATTAGGCCAAAACTTACTGCTACAATCCATGCAATTGTAATTCACCCCAATAAAATATGTAAGTGATACTGCCAAATTAATAAGCCTTGTCCCTGCATTCATAAGATGTACAACATACCCCTCTCAACCCTACTCCAATGAGTGATCAAGACATAATTTCTCCTTGTAATGAATACAATATCAACCAGGTAAGTGATGAGAATAAAGAAAAATATCAATTTGAGGATGAGTTGATCCAATACTAAATTCTCTGAATTAACATTTTAAGAACTGTATGGTTGACAATAAGGAGAAGTACAAATTTGATCGGGAGTCAAAGGGTTAAAATGATATACCCTTGCTCTCATTGCGATCAGAGTAAAGCTGTAAGTGTGCATAGAAATGAGGATTATAATGACAATGCTTAATGTGGCAATCATAATTATGAGGATGATTAACTTAGTACCAGCCATTTTGTAGGTCAAAACAATAGTTATACACCCATCTGGCACTGAAATGAATTGTCCAAAAAGGTTGATTGTAGCTGGAACCGGAAAACAATAAGTAAAAAGAAGAGGAGTTTGTAACACTTGTGAAATAGATGCTTCAGTGGTGCTCACTTAATTGATTCCTGCCACTAACTTTGAACCTCTACCACACTCATTGAACTTCTACTCTTCCTTCCATTCCAGTGCCTGTCTTTCCAAAAATTACAGATTAACTCCTTTTTATATATCTGACTCATGGATAAAGACATTTTCCGACATTTTTGTGTCAAGAGACTTATTTAATCAACTTTCAACATCCCTCAAGTTAGGAACACACAGTAAGCTAATTTATTCAAAATCCTTTCTTAAAAAAATGAAAATTATATCAAACAAGTAAAATTTTTCTACAAGAAGCCATTCTCTTCAGAGTTACAGTTATTGCAGGTTTATTTGCATGTAAAATATGTGAAATACACTCTTAAAATAACATATGAAAGGAAATAGGTCTGACTTAGAAAGACTGATTAATTTAATGATTGTTGAAAATTCTATTTTATGAAGCTGCACAGTGTAGAAGATGGACTTTGGTTTTGTCTCTTTAATGTTTACCAGAACTTCACTTTTACATGTCCTTACCAGTGAACGGTACAACTAGACTGTACACAAATTCCTCCTTTGGGGTATGACTGGATAGGACAGTCTTGATAGAGTTTGGGTGACAAAGGACAAGTGCTGATCGCAGGGGGCCAAACCACAGTGGGTAGGCTGTCTTATATTTTGTAGCACATTCTACATGGAATTTCAAACCATTACCATCAAAGGTTGCCTGAAATATAAATAATTGAAAAGTTATTTATTTTTTTATCTCAATATTTGATATTTTGTATACCACCCAGTTTAATGGCACTATAAAGGCTATTATTCTTGGAATAATTTTCAAATTGTTGAAATGGGCAAGTCATTATCTAAGGTGAATTCTTTATGAAATTTTTCCATGAAATAATATATTTCCTAATGTCCTCATTTCTCCAATACTTTGTTTTCAGCTGCTTGTGTGTTAAAACATCTCAGAAGGCAATTAATTAAACTGATCAACAGATGTGATCCTCTTTGGAACTCCACAGCAGTACTAAGTGGGTGTTCTGTGGGTATCTTTCAATCATGCTGCTTTATTTACCATACTCTACCAAGGTCCAAAAAATTTGGCATTTTCTCCCAATATTGGTCACTGGTTTGACTAGCTTTTTCACTTTTAAAAGAAAGATGATTGATTTTTTAATGAAATGAGTCTGAATTGGCCAAGCCGCACAAACATATCCACAACTTAATTACAAACATATTGACAACTAAGGTGGCCTCCCCTATAAGCCTAACGATTTCTTGGAGGTCTCCTCACCCTACCATTCTGTTAAACCTGTATAAATATTATATCTTAAGTGGCTAATAAATAGATGGTGATGATGATAATGTGTCCAATCCCACCTAAGAAATGCTATTATTTTGTTCCAAAAACTTACTTTGTATGTACCATTTTAACAAACACCTTCACCACATGTACCCTGGTCTGTGTATGGAGGTCTTAGATCATAGCCTCACAGAGTCCCATAAACCCACTAATGTCTCTCACAAGATTTTCCCAAAGCTTAACCAGGAGTTTAATTTTGTTTATGTTTGTGACGTGGCATTAATGCATAGACTGCCTCAGGGAAAATGAATTATTAATTTATTAGTTAGATGCTTTTATGTATTTTTGGGATAAAGATAACCAAAGTATTTAATTTCTTGATATTTCAATCAACCACTTTTTCACTCATAGAGTAATGAAGTGCAATGTCTTTGTGATTCAATTATTTAAGGAACATTCAAAAAGGAATTGCTTTCAGGTTTGAATATTATTGACCTTGATTAATTGGTGCTCTAGTGCATAAGGGCCATTATACATTTCATAGCCTCTATTTGTAGTCATGAGTCATAAACTCATATGTGGTTCAGCAAGTCGCTAAAAGTCTCATTATATTACCATCGCTTAAAGTTCAGGGCGGCTTGAAAAATCTTAATTATTCAAAAATGTTTTCAAACACAGTCTTCTCGTGTTACATTCAAGTTAAACCATTTTGAATCTTAATTGTGTAGCTTTAAAACAGTTTTTTTTGTTTTTATAGAAAACATCTCAGATTCCGCTGAATAGAAGTTACAAATTGCATCGATATAGTAAATACTGCCATATGAGCCATACTTAACCTCACAACTGAAATTTTTTAGATGAGGGAAATCGCTTTCAACGTTCGTATTTTGTTTACAATCCTTCCGTTAACCATCTATTTAACAACAGGAAATATTTCGGGAAGAAAATTATCCTTTTTTGTTACAAAATGTTGCTTAGAATTTTCAGCAATGAATAGTTTCAGCACTTACTCGATGAGTATGTCCTTTGAGCCAGTGAGATGGAGGTCCTTCGAAATTCTTTATGGCAATTTGAGACTTGCGCATCATCACGAAACTCGTGAGTAAGAAATGTGCTAAGCATGCGATAAAAAAAGAAGCAAGAAGTAGAAACCATGCGGAAAATGATAGACTAAATATCTGTGTAAAGCCTTCAAAACCGGTGGAAGCCAAAGAAAATGACATTTTCGACACGAAATTTAGCTACATTACATCACTTTTCAGTGACAATGCTCCAACCGAACGTTACAGAGTAAATACACTCGCATTAGACTTTCAAATGAACTCTGCTCCTTCAGAGGTGTAGGGGACATGTGCACTTAGCCACTAAAAGAACATCTATGTCGTTCTTCCCCGCCGATTACTTCGACATAAACAGACGAAACATAAACGAAAGCGAAAACCACAGTCGAGATGTATTTAGGGGCCAGTCGTTTCCCGAAGAATTTAGTTTCGTAAACAAACCAAAAGCATTCACATAATACGTCCTCAACCCAAAATAAAATTTGATAGGGAGCACTTTTTTTCAATTAACGCATTAGCATTGACAACTATAGCTCCACGCGAGCCATGTGGTTGTTTAAAATATTCCTCACCTTATCGAATGGTATTTTTCTCAGCCATTTTGACGACGGTTTTCGAAAATATGGGAGTAAGGCGTATAGGAGGTTAAGGGGGCTACGTAATACCTGTGATGAAGTTGCGAAGGAGACAGGGCGATTGGAAGGACGATGAGTGTAATACAAATAACCAAAGAAAAAAACAAACAAACAAACAATAATCAACAGCTTTAAGAAAATTGTGAAGAAAAAGGTCAAACATCTCTTTTTCTTAACCTTCAATCGAGCGGCTTTAAAATAAGTGGTTTCCCGCTATTCTGGGGTGACTTTGGTGCTCTCTTCTTCTAAAATGTTTACATTTTTACCTGTCCCAAACTCAAATGGTTCACCAAGTCTGTTGCCTCAAAATTGGAAGCCCTATCAATTTGACAAACCCTTTTTTTTTGTTTTCGCATTTCTGCCATCTCTATCGAAAATACTATTTTTCTTATTGACAGGATCAAGTAACTCGGTTACATGGCCCATTTCGGATATGCCAAACGCATTTTTTTAAGTGGGTTGTGTCAAGTTGGTTCCTAAGTACTATTCTCAAATATTAACGTTTAGATGAAAAGGGCTTTAACAGAGATATAATGACCAAGCCGTTTATTTTCACCATTTCGCGGTCGTGAAATGGTTCCCAGTTTAAGGTACACTTCACGGAGATATGCCTCTGTTCGGCTAAAGCTGTTTAGGGACCTTTTTTCGCAGGGAAATCGCGCGCATTTTCTTGTTCAACTTCATAAATAACCACAGTTTTTTACTTCCTGTAGAAAGCCCGTGACATAGAGTTGACACGCAAGCCTGGTCACAGATTAAGTTGAATTTTTATATTATTTACAAGTTCGTCACTGCGATATTTTAGTAATTATCTGGATTACCTTGAAAAGATACGTTTCAAGAAAATACGTTGATAAAATAATTTAATTTTTCGTTTCCGAAAAAGCAAGATGCATAATTAACTTTACCAAAAACATTTCTAAGTGTCTCCAACATTCGCATCACCCGTCTCCACGGAAAATTAACACTTATTATGTCGACGTCGCACCGGATGCAGTCTAAGAGTATTGACAATCAGCTGCCTCGAAAAAAAAAAGCAACGAAGTGGATGGTAAATTCCGTGGTGCAAAGAAACTTCATGTCAACTACTCAGCATGCTAGAGAGTCTATTAAATTACTTAGGTCTCCCTAAAGTTCTCTCTCGTCCACAAAAACCTGAACTATTATGTATTCGAATGACAACAAGCTGATTTGCGCCTAGTAAGGGTGATGGGATGTTTCGTTTTCACGGGGTTAACAACATTCATTCTGTTAGCTTTAATCCTGAACATATCACTTCCGATATTTTGCCCAAAGCTGTTGTCACTTTTTCCTTTCATTTAAAGGAGTATCAAAAAATGAAAACTGGCCTTGAAGAGGATAGAGCGTACTTACCTAAGCTTTTCACGGTAAAATTTTACCTATTGTCCAATACTTTGGACTGAAAATTGCAGTCATTTGTGTACCGATCAGACTGACTCAAGAATTGATACTGTTCAACCAAATCAACTTGAAATCAGCATCCCCTGACGTCTTTGAGAAAATACATTATTTTCTGTCAAACATGTTTACAAGAAATAAACTTAAAGCCTGTTTACATGGATTTGGGGAACCCCAGGTAGGTGAGTAAACTCGCCTAGTCGTGGTCGAAAAATAGCCCGCGTTTGCATACAGTCTTACAACCCCGGAATGCCAGGCGGGTGTAGTTTCTCGAGGTTGTTATCACACCTGTAATTAAGGAGGTTAAGATGTCACTACGGCGACGCGTTGGAAAACGCTGTCGAAAAACTTAATTTATTTTCCTCTAAGATTTCCGCCAATAACTCGATGCGTTGACCGTTCCTGACGATACAAGGTCTTCACTTCGGCATAAGATATGAATGTAGTTGTTGAGGTTGAAGTAAAAACGTGACTAAATCACCGTCGAGGTTTCATTACCAAGAGGACGTAGAAAATAGTGTTTTAATGTTTTAACTCTGCATAAGACGGCTATGAAATGTAGAAAGTTTTAACACACTCGTGTCTCGCTATTGCTTTGCTCATTTGATCTTTTTGTAACATGAACGCCATCCCGGCTAAGCGGGTTGCCCCACCTTGAGAGGTTTACATGGCAAATTGTCGCCCCGGCTGACAGGGTTACCCTACCCGGCAGACTGGGCAACCCGCATAGGCGGGTCGCCCCACCTATCTTGTAAACGTGATCAGGATAACATAAGAGATTATATGAACAAGCGGGTTACCTAACATACCGGGGTCCCCCACCTCCATGTAAACAGGCCTCTACTTTCGCATAAATTATTCAAAATGACCAATTAAAAATTCTGACAGTCACCTGACCTCTCTTTAGACACGATTACAAAAATCAAACCACTGAGGAAAATTGTTTATTTCACATACGACATGCACACAGGATAGGAGTCCTATACTTCTTTCGCCCGCTGGTTCTTTATAGTTAAAAGGTAAGAGGATATGTCTCTATGCTTAAAGAGTTTGTTCTCTTTGCGACAGTTTCTACTTTTTGAGCAGCAATGAAGGCCAAATTCGCTTCCGCTTACATCAAATTTGGGAGCATAGGCTCATTTGCTGAACGTGATTATTGCCGAGCTAAGATGAAAAGAATTATAAACTGCACTATCAATGAATCAGATATTTTTCCGAGTACATCTTGGCTCTGTTCTTTGATTCAATTTCGCATACTGCATCGCAGCAACACTCGATTAGTAACGTGAACAGTTTTATGTCACACGAAGTAGCTGCCTAAAAACTCGTCTTCGTGGACAAAGCAGTTGCGAGACCTTTAGTGACTTTCAATTCCTAGCGTGCAGTGGATTACATATTCTCATTTCTAAAAGTACAGACCTTCGATTGAAAATTATCGAGTGAAGATTACCGTGCGATTTAACACAACAAGTTTGGCTAAACGTCTTCTTCTTTTTGGTCAAAGAAACACTGAATGAGGGAAGTTGGTTTGGAAGGGGATGAGATGTACTCTCTATACTTTTGGAGAAAGCACCCGGCTCCTCTCGTACCCCTCATCATATTTTGAAAACAAATTCCGATTTGTGTGGCGATCAGACTAGTCTGAAAAATTTGAATACTTAACCAAAACAACTAGAAAACGACGTTCCATGGGGCTGATAGGATAACTTTTTGAACACAGATGGGAAAGAGATTAGGTTTTGGCCGGGAAGCTTAATTTAGATTTTTTTCAGAGAGCTTTGAAAGGTATCCTCTTCGGGAAAATATGTAATGGCAAAACATATTTACATTTTACAATCTTAAACCTGCGTGGCTCATTAAGACTCCTAATTAGCAACTGTTGCGTGAAATGACGTTATCCCCGACAGTCACCTGACCTCACTTTTCAATAGAGATGTTCTATAATTTAATTTTGTACGCCGTAGGGCAGAGAATGGAGCAGCACGACGCTTAAGTTGACAAGTCTCGAATCGAATTGACCATCATATAATTTTTTTTATAACATTTTCTTCTGAAGGGTCTTAATAGTAGCAGGCAAGTCAAGAATTTGAAGAAAACGACAAAACTTTTAAGTTTTTTTTAAGTTTAAGTAAAACATGTTTCGACAGAAACTTCTGTCATCTTCAGTTAATTAATGTACAAAGCATCGGAAGTTGAATTTATAATAAGTAGAAAAATGCTAATTATGATAAATAGTGACAACATGAAAACATACCGGCGATAAAATAAAATTGTAGAGCCATGAAAATTTTCAGCCAAAGTTTTCATGATGTCCCAGGGCACTTAGCCAGTAACAGGGCCTCTTACATTTTCAAACATCTCCAAGATTCTGAACATTGTCGCGCTTTGTGTTCTGCAAATAACTTTCTTGTTTTGCATCACGCCTTACCGGTTTTCAACTAAAGATAAAAGAGGCTATTCATATTCGAAGAGAGCGACCCTCTTTGAATCAACAATTACACCATGTTAATCGAAAACTATCCTTTTAATTCTCACACTTTCGTGTTTTTATCATAATTAGCATTTTTCTACTTATTCCAACGCTTTGTACAATAATTAACTGAAGATGACAGAAGTTTCTGTCGAAACATGTTTTACAAACTCAAAAGTTTTGTCATTTTCTTCAAATACTTTCTTCTGAAATCTGAGAAAAATCCAACGATGTGATCATTCCTCGTATTTCTATACTTTTTCTTTTATGATTGGTGAAAGCTATCGCCCTAAAAGAACATTGGAATTACCAGCTCTTCACAAACTCTTTGTTACTATATTTTGTCATTCAATTTTGCATGATAGTGCTTTCATTTACTTTATTGGCTGATAAAGCATTACATTAGGTTTACAGATGAATGGATTCCGATGCAAAACTTTTTAAAAAAAATTACTAAAAAAAATGAATCGAAACTAACCCACAAGACGTTATTGAAATATATATGAACCAAAAAAATTGTTTACAAATGCATTGAAACCAATCGACAAGGCGACATTTGTTTTATTACCCAAAAAAATTATTTCTGCTGTAACACTTAGTCGCCTCGTTGTTCATTTGTTTAAACTTTTTCTTGAACTTGAAGTGATGACACGAACTGCCAAAAAAAGACTTAAAAAACGAACTCACAGTATAGATAACTGTCAA